TTTCTTCTCCCCCTGCCCCGACCCCAAACTCCAGTCCCCACCTATCAACCCCGAATCCTCCCTCTCTCGACATATTCATTTCTCAAAGCCCAGCAAATATATTTCCTCAACTCTCCTCGATCTCCCACTGCCCCCATTCTCACACAAAGAAACCAAATCGAATCAAATCTATCCATCAACCTAAAAATTACTCTGCATAATTAAACATATATATGTGATCAATAAAAATGAAAAAAAAAAAGAACACGAGCAGGAACATATCAATCTTCATTCTTTGGGAGACGGTATTGCTGGGTTTTTTTGCAGGAGGGTTTTGTGAGGTGGGGATGCGGCTGAAGTTGGGTTTCGTCAAAGGTGAAGAGTGAGGTGGATGGGGGTTGGGTCTGGTGGCGGGGTTAGGTAGGGGAGAGTGGTGCGGTAAAGTCGAGGAGATGGTGGTGGGATAAAGTCGGTGAGAGATGGTGGTTATTAGGGTCGAGGGTGGGGTGCTAGGGTTTGGGGAAAAAGAAATCAGGGGGAGGGGGAGAAATCGGGAGGAAGGAGGGGAAGGGGGTCTGGGTTGCAGGCTGGGGTGAAGAAGAAATCGACAGGGGAGAGGACAGCGTAGAGGGGGGAGAGAGATTTTCTTTATTTAAGTTTTAATATTTTATTAATATTTTAATCATTTAAAAATTTTAAAAAAAAAAAGTGAAGCTGCAGGTCCCATAATGGCACATAGGCAACTAACAGAGAGATTTAACCGAACCCTAACGGCGAAACCACATTGTAACAAATTTGAAAGACCGGGGTATGTGATTGTAAAAATTAGAAACATAGGGCCTAACATGTCTTAAGGGTGTAACCGCAGGATACTAAACTATAATTAACCCAAAGAATAATTGCTGATTTTCAGAATCAGAAGGGAGAACACTAAGGCAGGTACTGGTGACTGGAAATCTAATGTGTATATATTACTAACAAGCAATAAACGTCCAACCATATGAATATGTATCAGAAGATTAATCACATACCAACAGCAACTTCGGCCCTGACCAGAGGGCTTCCATCTGAAGCAACACTTAATAGGCTTCTAACAATACTAATTTCAGCTCTAATCTTTTCATCATCGTCATATTCTTCATCTCCTCCAACGCCATCTCTACATGAACCCGAACCCACATCAAGCAGGGTACCCAGTGCAAAAACAGCAGAAGCCCTAACCTGAAATAGAACAACCTCGTGATTAAGTTACAGAATCTATTGCAGAACCCTAAAGTTGTCATTGGATAATCATAATATGTAAAAACAAGCAATATGGTATAAGGGTAAACCTCTGGTTGGGGCTCGGAAAGTAGAGGAGCACATATTGCAGGGGCATCTGCCTGCAAACCAAATATTTGGGCCTCTGTAAAATCCTCCCACAGCTTTCCCAGACAGAGGCAAAGCCACTGAAGAAAAAGGGGTTCAGTCTGTGTATCATTTGGAGTTGGACCCTGAAGGTGCTTCAAGCAAACATGGATCAGACCTGCTTCAATACAAGCTTCCTGACCACGTCTATGTGTATCAACAATCACTGCCAAAACGAAAGCAGCCATTGCACGCTGTTCTGGATATGCTTCCATGCTATCAAGAAACCTGATGAAATATGTATGTCCCCCATCCTTCACAAGATCAACCTGACATGACTGATACCGCAAAACAGAGCACAATTACTAATATAATAACTGAAACTGAAAGGGGCAGGTATACGGCACATGAAAGGAATTTATCTAGTAAAAAGGGATTGAAATTAAAATTAAAAATGGCTGATCATCAATAAAGCAAAGAGCACATATTTGCACATCAATGATAATAAGATTTTGGCTATGAAGACATTGATGCCTGAGATTGGAAGAGGGTATAAAGCAGTGAGGGCATTACAGAACAAGTCACCAAACCAATTATAGATACCTAGACATGGAATGTGGTGAAGTTATCTATATATACCTTATCAAGGGCAAGAATTTTTGTCCAAATAAATACAAGAATTTGTCGTAGTTCAGGCGTCATCGTTTGCAACAGCTTCAGAACATACGGAAATATCCCAACAGACAATGCCTATAAGAAAGAAATGTGATTAAAAAAGAAAATCAAAATATTACTCTCAAAGAACAAAGGGATTCAAACAAAAAAGAACAGCTTCAGAATATATGGAAATATCCCACAACGCATACCAGATCTACAGCCCAGGGTCCCATATCAAGGAATCTTCCAAGAAGAACCAGAGCTCGAAATCGGTGGCATTGACTAAGTAAGACCTAAAATAAAGATGATATTCTGTCAGGTTATGTACAGAATAGAAAACCAGGCAGAGAATGAACTTAATACACTAATACATGATCATAAACAACATCACAAAATCACAAGCCGAATCAACATATTCGAAGAAAAGTAGTTCCTTTCAAGCCAAATTGCACCAGCACAAGCTAACGAAAATGCTAAACTTCATTGAAAATGATCTTAACCCAATACTACCCTGGACTAACATGCCAATTTTTCCCAGTTAACTTCAAAGCTGGATTTACCTAATCATGTACTATTACCAAATGCACACAATTAAGCAAAGTTTCTGTCAAATGCCTCATATTGGATACTAGCTCCTTGATATCAACCAGACTGGAATTGACTGTTGTCAACCCATGTCAACAACCAAAACCAATAAGACATTATCTGAAAAATGCATATATCAAATCTATATCCAAGAAAAGCTTTTGGTTGACCCAAAACCAAAAAGTGAGAGGTGTAGCACCACACCTGAAGAACAATAGGCAACTGCTCTGGTGGTTTCTTGTGTTCGGATCCATGGTCAAGCCATACCTCAAAAGCAGTCAACTGCTCAGTGAAAAATGGACTTGGCTGAAACAAAGAAAAAGAGAATGATCAAAGTCCAAGTCAAAACGTAGGCAAATCATGCAAATACAAAACAGGAAACTCATACAATATTTAATTCTGCACAAAGCCATTGTCTATATGATCTAAACTGTATTACATACAAAATGCAACAATGGATATAGAACTTGAAAAACAAACACACCTGGAACCCTGCATTAGGATCCTCAACCAATAATGGAAGCTGAGAAAGGCATATCTCAGCAGCCATGTCCCATGCATCCCTGCAGAGTGCGTAATCAAAAGAGTGACAATTGATTTAGTTAACATATAAAGCATAACTTGGGAAATATCTCGTTTAGTACCACATGTGATGCTGATGGGTTGGAGGCAACATTGGGTGAGAGATTGGAGAGCAATTTGCCGATCGCATAATTCGCTCAGCAAGTAGAAAATTTCGAAAAAGGCTGGCAACTAACAGGTCTTGTCTGAACAGTCTCTGGAAAAGATCTGCAACACAACTTATTATTGGATAGATGTCCCACCACCAAAGAAGCCATAAATGAACATCCAGATCAAAGATACTAATTATGATACATCACATCAGTAAATTAAAAAACCTACCATGAGGGAGAACATTCCATGCAATTGTATCAGTGACAGCAGTAAAAATCCAATTCAACTCCCCCAAGAGGGTTCTCCGGTCATTTTGGCGGCCAGGGATTTTATCTATTAGCGAATAATCAAGAGACTCATGAAGTAATGATCTTGTGCAGAACCTGAGAGAGTACATAACAGTCAAAGACTTAGTAAGCACTATTAAAACCTGGATTTCATGAAAAAACAGAAGGCAAGTTATAAAATCAATACAAAAGGCGAAGTGAAATGAAACCAGCTGATGAAAAAATTCAGGGAGTTGTGAAGTAGTGGGGGATTACAAAAAATTCAGGGACATAATCGTAATACGAGCATATTAAATAACTATAATTGATTAAAAATAATATTATAATGCCTATTATGGCTTTTCTCGTCAATAAGTAATGCAACACATGCCACATTCAAGTTAAAGGTAAAATGATATAGCACACCAGAACATAACTACGATATAAACAAATGTTGAAAGCATGGGATATTATATTTCACCATCTTAATGCCATCTTGATGGGAGTTGTGAGGCAACAATCCCTTGTAGATCCAGATGAGCTAGAACCCCCCCAATCATGAAGCTAACAAAATCCAACCATTACATTAAGGTCTAGACTATACAATAAATGATATCAATTCTGAAATCATGGAAACTTAAATTATCAATTTAAACAAACATTCATAACTGCATTGTAGGATACCTCAATGAATGAATTAATAATCATCCCAGCAGCAGAACAATCAAACACATATATTGAAGGTGTCTTCAACCAGGAATCAAGGTCACTTATTGGCAAGGGGATATACTGTGTATAACTCTGCACAAGAAAAAAAACAGTGAGAACCAAGGAGCACTTTATTTAAAGATTGCAACAGAATGGCACAGCAGGCTTCAAATTAGTAAAAACCTTATTAAAGAGCCAAATTTCACCATTAGCAGTTGGCTTCGGTACACCATGTCCATTATAATGGAAAAGAACTCTCTCCGACTTGGCATATTTGCGACATGTATTACAAAGTTTCTTCACTTCCTCAACTGTAGGATCAAGCTGAACCTTGTAGCGTGCCTGAAAACACATTGTCAGCCCACATTAAATATCAATTTGAAACAATAAAAATAACAGAATGCAATCCCAAAAAAATGGTTTCTCACCTTTGGTTGCCACCTCTCATACTGTTCACTCAAGGTTTTACCAATTTTTTCAAGAGCTTTTTGTGGAGCCATAGAAAATGGATCTGAAGACAGAAGAAAAGATTAATCAGATGGTAAATTCAACAAAGAAACAAAATAGAAACATCCCAATTGTCATTTATTTATATTTGGTTTCCAAGGGGATGATAAATGAAAGGGATAGTCTGAATTTGTTTGAGTTGTAATGGTTGTGTAGACCCCAAATTCGAGCACCCCTCTTGGCAACCAAGCAAGGAATATGCAAAATATTTATTTATATATAACAGCAACATGCATAAATAGAAAACGGCCTCAATGAGTATCTTAGGAGTCTCCAAGGGAGTCCTAGAGATAATTAATAGTCAAATACCATGAAACAAAGGAACCAAACACGAAAGGTGGCAAACAACCAAATCTGATTAAATGGGAGACTGACTGGTTTAACATAGTACGGATGCATCAAGGATGAAGCCACATCTCCTTTTTTCACCACAATCAAACAATTCAGAAAGATTTTTAAAAACGGAGTTTCTCAAGAGATGATTTAGTTCAACTGCACGAGTCTGTGGATGAGATAAGATACTTAACTCAAACAAATTGCAACATGCATTTACTCATTTAATTATTCTGGGTACAAAAAGATATTAACAAAAACAATTCAAACTTTCATACATATTAGGTGAAGAACTTAAACCAGTCTCTAATTTTATTCACAGTAAATTATTAGCCATAGCAATTCCAAGGTGCTTTGGTTATTAAGAAATGGACCAGAGTATCTCAAAGTCACCCCCTCTGGTCCAACTGATAGTAAAAACTCAATACGCCAACCCAAAGGGCAAAAGAAAAAAATTAATAACCAATACACAACCAAGAAACTAAAGCAACAGTAAGAATCAGCAGTGTAAAAGCACCTATCCAGCACTCCATTCGGGCACAGGGAGATATCTTAATTACATCGGGCGGATCAACGCTAATGTTTAAACATAATACTAGAGCTACACATCCCGTCTTCATCTGCAAAGAAGTTGAAAGTTAAACCAAAGCAATCACATAGTAACAACTACAATAATGTGAGAATCTTCAATCAGAACTTAAACAAGGAACTAAGCTTAACATAGGGAAAGGCTCTAATTAGGATTTATTTGAAGAATAGGGATTAAAGTTCATAACATAAACATAAAACAGAAATTTGCAGTTCTAGACTTCTGTCGCCACACTCATGATTTTCTTTTAAGCAACGTATAGGAAAGTTAATGAATGGAGAGAGTGTAATTCAAGAAGCCAAATCCCACTGCAGTAAAATTTCAAATTGCAAAAGAAGCATCTGTGAAATTCTTCAAAGATGACAAACTTTACCGCTACAACATGATTACATGACCACAGGTTTTAACCATAACAAAGGAACATCAAGTTGCCAATCTCACAAAACACCCCCAAGACACAGAGAAATTAACGACTCTATAGTAAGGGTGAATTTATGGCTCAAGAATTTTCTGTAGAAAATTACTTTTACCACTCCGTTGACAACTGAAAAAATGCAGAAAGTTTTACATGTTATCAGGATTTCCTTTTTTCATGTTAAAGCAATGAACATGACTTCTACAAGTTCACTTTTCTTGAATCAGCTTCATCTCATATGTTAAACACCATGCCAGATGAATTATAGTTGTAGCCTACTTTATAGGATGGGAAGGTTGGGCAATTTTCCCATGTTACAAGAAACGACGATTTTACTTATGAGTCTCAACTTGCCGACTGAGAAAATGCACAGATGTGTCAGTATTTTAGAAATATAAACAAAAAACAGGGTTTTAACAGAAAACATATTCCAACCAACATTGGCACTGCCATGAAACTTCACTTACAGGCTACACTGCAAGGTTGGGAACCTAGGCATTCTCTGTGACTCAGCCCCATTACTGCACCTAACTCCCTCAGATCTACCCTCCATGAGTGGAAGCCTTCAGAATTTGTAACAGTTCAAGCAATGATGCTTTGAAAATCCCCAATAAAAGCAGAAGTTGTGTCCTTTCTTGGTCTCAAGTATTGAAAGAGAATAATGTGGTATTGAAACTAACCTTTTGTCCCAGATCGAAGTTCACCAACCATTATACTAATTCTACTTGTCATATGACACACGTAATGGTTGATTGAAATTCTCCCAGGATATACCCACATCCTTCTGAAACTAATCGATAAAAGAAATATCACATCACTGTGGGAGGTTTTAACGGATCACCAAGGCCATAAACCAAAAATTAACCCTCGTTACAAACTGAAAGCAACCTTCGCCTTTAAGAAGGCAAGAAAAAGAAAATGTTTGCTTACAATAAGGAGTTTCAGAAAGGATATCACTGGCAACTGAATTGTGTACAAGGTGGCTTCTGGAGTGATTAATCCTTGTTGCCAAGAAAGGTTCAGTTCAGCACTTATTTGGGATCTCATGACTTATTCACTCAGGCAATCTGTTAACTTTATCGAGGAGGAGTGGAAGACTTGGATTTTATCTGCTAATGAGCTATTGATCCTAAATATCAGAAAAGGACAAGGTTTCTTGCCTATCAAACTAGAATTATGACTTCAACGACATAAAATTTGAAAGGAAATGTTAAAACTTCCTAGCCACAGTACCAAATGCCTAATTTCCAAACTCTCAAGAAAATTGATGCTGATAATCCATGAGAAAGAAGAAGAAAAAAAACTACTTTTCATAACATTAAAAAAATTGAATTAATGGTGCTTTAACTACGGCTTTCATTTTCTGCAATAAGTAATCTACTAACATATTGAAGTGAAAATGAGCCATCATTTCCTACCAAATTAGCTTAATAATAGAACTGTGATAAGGAATCTCATGTCAACGATCATAAGATTAACAATTATTGGTACTACAATAATCTCAACAGGAACAATGAGAAAAATGAAGAGCATGTACTGAAAAGAAGAGCTTACTCGATCTTTAGGCCGCCATTTGGAGACCAGACCACTATCAGATGGACCTAGTGGCACGCAAGCCTCGAAGGCGTCGTGCCGAAGTTCACACAATACAATGGTTTGGGGCAAGTAGGCCATGCTTGTAGCAGTGGTGGCCGTGGCATTTCCGTAACTACTACTAGCAGTCTCGGATTCCCTTCTCTGCGAGCTCAAATCGCCATCTTCGTGACTAGAGGCGCAGTCATCCAAGTGGTTTGGGACCACGACCACGGAGGATTGCGAAAACCGGGAGGCCATCAAATCCCCCAATGCCATTCAAATCGAAAACCCTCAGAACACAAGCAAAAGAGCAATCAATGTTCGTCCTAATTGAAAAACCATTCCCCAAAAAGCAATGAAAGCAGTCACACCCTAGGTATTATTGGGATCGAGAAAGCTGGAGAGCGGAGGAGCGAGATGGGGAGTGTGGTGTGATGGGGCTAATCAACGAAGCCGCTGAACCAGCGGCGCATGGAGATTCGCCTGATGAAAGAAAGAGAATCCAGCTCGGAAAGCCCCAGAAAATCCCAGAAACGGGTCTGAAAACCCTAGAAACCCTAGGTGACGAAGAGGATGATGGAGGCGCATAAAACAGTGGCGGCACAACGAGAAAAATAAAAAATAAAAACTCAGCAAAAAAAATATGGATTTCTTTCTTCAATAGCGCAATAGGAGAGAGAGAGAGAGAGAGAGAGTGTGTGTGTGTGTGTGTGTGTTTTTTCGTATGTGTGTCAAGTGTGCGTTTGTTCGTGAAATTTTGTTTTTCTTTCTTTCCGATTATCTCCCTCACAGCCCACCCTCCACTGAGTTTTTTTCCGGGTCCGGGTCCGGGTCGTTTATTTTTGCTATTTTAAACTACGTTTTTTTACCTGCCGGCCAAGCAAAAATCTACGCTTTTTTACCTCTTATGGGTTTGCACAAACAACAAGAAAACGACTATATTTCTCTCACTCTTCCTTTGTATTTTCCTTAACGGGCGGGGGTATTGGTTGGTACCATGTACTGTTTTTGTAGGAAGGAGGCTTCTACTTTTCATACAGTACAAATCAATAACCAGTCTATGTAATTGATTGCTTTGAGCCAAACTTTTAAATCCTTTTAAGGAAATAAAAAAAGAGAACAAATCCAATTGGACTATCTTCATACAATTCAGTGGTATTTTCTTTTAAATGATTTTCATGTTATTGTCGTGATAACTTTCTGCGCACATACTATAAGAGTTTAAATATTCATGTGCTGTATGTTTGTGAAAACGTATATAAAAAATATGCTTATCATCATTTGTCTTAATTTTTTTGTCAAAATTTGGTAGGGGAAAGGAGAGGTGCTATTAAAGTTTGAATATGAGACGATTGAACTATAAACCCATTATCCATCACTTGCACTGATTTAGCGATCCGTTTAATGATTTGTTTTTATAATTCATAGACACATAACAAGCACACGGCTATTTTGTATGAAATAAAACCTTACACATATAGTTAATGTTGTTTTTGTGAGTGGAGACCTTAATGGTAACCTCATTCTTAGCCATAATGAACATGAGACAAAGTGACAAGTTATTGTCCTCATTGATAAAGGCATATCTTAAAGAATGTTAAAATTGGGTTTGTACAACAATAAATAGTAAAGAAACCAATTTTTTGTTTATATAAATCCAACAAAAAAATTATTGAAATTAAAATAGTAATGAAGGGATTGACTAAATGAATATCGTTTTGGCCACAGACAGCTCAGCAAACAAATTGTACACGAGTATGTTGAGGTGTTATTGAATATGCTTGCTTACATTCAAAGAAGGAATTATATACTTGTGGGGAGCGTCCATTTTTGTTTCTGTAGCCACGTTGGTCTATGTCGCAAGTTTACCATGTTACCCCTCCTAGGAACCTCGTGTCCGGTCCCATTTTCATGATTTGATCGTCAAACACATGTTTGGTTGTCTTCCATTCAATTTAAGCACTTAATTCCAATCTCATCACTACCATAATTGCCTGTAACATGCACAAACTAACTCGTATGCCATTTCAAAGCATATTCTTACTTCACATATATTTGGTGGTTTTTATCATAACACAATTGGGTGGTTAACAATATTTATTATTTAATGTCGAGTGTCATAAATATTATCTTTTTTGATATCGCAACGACTTATAATTTGTATATTTTATGTTTATATTACGATTGTGTTTAGCATGGGCGGCCCTGGGGTGGAGCAAGTGGCGCCACAGCATAGGACCCCCGAAAAAAATTTCTTTATATTATATAAATAATATTTATAAGAATTGTATATATCATTCTTTGAATGTAAGCAACCACCAGAAATATATATCCTTCTTGAAAACCTCGATTATGAACATTTGATTAATGATTTCTTTTTAAAAAATTTAAGAAGATCAATTTTTTTTTTTTTTTGGGTCTGAAATTCATGTTGGATTCCAAAGGATCCCAAAACAGGGAATAGAAATACAGATAGAAGGCAAAAGCCACAAAGAGCCAGCATAACACATGAAACAAACTACCAAAAGCAAGGTTAGACATAGCTAGATTCCACCGGAACCTAGAACAAACAGTCCCTACCCAGCAAACTAACTACTAATAGGAATTAAAACTAAATTGCAGATGCAACAAGAGGTGGACAAGGCAAACCATCAGATGTTAACACCCCAACGAGAGACAATGGTGGTCTGTCGACCCAACTTTGCAGTTCCATAGCTCTGTTACCTATCGACGCCGCTGCATGAGCCGCACGATTTGCACTCCTAGGTACCCAAGACCAAATCACCTCTTCGAAGCTCGAAACCACATCATGGATTTCGTCAATAAGAGGGAGGATAGCCCAGGAGTTGTTATCATGATTTCCAGAGATGCCATCTAGTAACACCTTGCAATCTGTCTCCAAGATGACTTTCATATTACCCCTGTTTTTAGCAAGATGTAAAGCACAAAGAGCTGCTGCCGCTTCTGCACTAAGAGATGAAACACATGAAAGTGGGGAGGCAAGACCACCACACCAATCCCCAGAGGAATTACGAGACACAATGCCAATGCTGCCCTTCATTGTGCCAGGAAGCCAAGAGCCATCCAAGTTGAATTTTACGTAGTTTGGGCCTGGTTTAGACCACCGGGTTCCTTGGACATGATGAACAGGAGAGAGGTTCCCTCTAGCATCAACCTTGGAGACAACCGCTAAGTATTCAGAGCAAGCATCTCTAGCATGGGTGATCGCAAGCCTCGGATCAGGGCTAACCCCATTAAAAACGAATTTGCACCTTGCCTTCCAGATTTCCCAACACAGGAAACTGAGAAAAGATAATAAAAAATTGCCATCCGTTCTTGAGGTGCCAGGTATCGAAATAATGCCTTCAATCCATCTATCAAAAGTCGAGATCCTCCGGGGGTCAACTTTGTAGGAAAGGTCTGAGCCAAACCACACAAGTTGAGTCCACGGGCAAAGAAAAAGAATGTGCTCCACCGATTCTTCAAAACCTTCGCATATTGGGCAAATAGGATCCGTTGCAATTTTTCTTTTAAAAAGAGCAAGTCTGGTTGAGATGGATCCAGATAGAGCTCTCCAAAGAAACAGTTTTATTTTTGGGAGAGTCTCCATCTTCCATATGGTCTTCCAAACCCCTTCCGAGACAAAGTGTGAGGAGTGATTATGGCTTGCAATGTCGGTATTTTGTCTAGCATGAAAACGGTGGTACCCCGACTTAACAGTATACGAGCCACTTGAGTTCCATGGCCAAACAAGGCGATCCGGTCTGGAAGAGTGACCAATGGGGATGCATCTGATGCTCTGAAGAATGTCATTGTTTATGAAGGTGGAGATACTATCCAGCTTCCATGTGTGGTTTTGTTTGTCCATTAGTTCTTGGACCAATTGGAGGGCTTGAGGAGGAATTGGCTGCAAAGTTTTCACAGGTCCCGACTCACAGCAAGGGACCTTATAGGGGCACAAAGAGCTTTTTTTTTATACCAAACATATTAATATTTAACTTTATCAAATGAAAACATTTAATTTTTTATGAATTGGATTTCTGATTATCATTACATGTTTATTGATGGTGACTTTTAGTTATAAAAAAATTATTTATGACATTAAGTTATGATAAATTTTTATTTATAATATTTTCGTATAAGATTATATAAGGCCCAATTTAAATTTTGCACAGGGTCCTTAAAATCTTAGGGATGGCCCTAGTGTTGAAATTTGCGTTAATCATATTTCTAATATAAATTGTAACCCAAAACCAATAAAGAAAAGAAAAAAAAACATATTTAGTATAAGAGAAAATTCTCCACTATTATAATGAGAATAAAAGGCTAGTAGTGATAAGCTCGAGATTAATATATACGAAGGGATTAACATAAAGTATATCCCGTGACGCATGTGTACTGACCTCATTGTGTCCCAATCAATTGTGCAAACAAAGTTAAGCTAAATGATTAAGCACTTGATTTCAAAATTAATTTTAAGATTATATACTTATACGCATGCTTAAGCAATAAGCAGGTCGTCCACGTGTTGCTTGCTGTCTCATCCAATGTCCACCCTACGGACTCTCGTGGTTGATGATGTTCAGAAAGGACTGGCAAATGGAGTTAAAAGACGTGCCAAATTCTTCCGATTTGATTGCAAAACACGACATTAATATAATAACTCATGTTTTGTTCTGATTAAGACTTGTTGCTGATCACATTCAGAGGATTTTAATTTTGCAAATGTCAGAGAGGGATTATGTGTAAAGTCAAAAACATCAGCTTGTTGCCAAGTAAAGGCACTAGAAACATGCGTTGAAAGTGAAAGGGTAGTGTTGTCCTTTGGTTAAAAGAATATTAGGGGTTTGCATCTTTACGGGTACAAAGCTTGCTTAGCAAAAATCTAGCCTAGATTAAAGAATATTTGTACATGTGTAGTGCTTATTTAGGACGAATTTTTACTTGTTCAACAGAAACAAATTCAACTCTTGTGATAAATATATGCATTTAAGAATAAAAGTGAATCTGTCAAATCAACGGTTCTACAAGTGTTTTTGAAAAATAAATATTATGTTACTAAAATAGTAAAAATGATAAGGACGAACCTTAAGTTGAGTCTCAATTAGTGATGAAATTATGATTAAAATATGAGGTTTTGGTTAAGTGAATAAATGAGTGGACTAAGGTTAGAGTTTAGGTTAATTCCAAATCCCCCATGTGGTCCGTCCTCAGCCCCAACCTATAATTTTGGCTCCATCTTAATTTTGTGTGACAATTTAACAATTATGGAGTGATTAAGTGATTTATCAGGAACATTGATACGGTACAAATCAATATCAATATGTATAGAGCTAAACAAGAGTTACATTGAGCACGTCAATCAACATCAAAGAGCTATGAAAGGGAAAATTGTCTTAATTTCTAAGCCTTATAGTACCTGGAAGGTCCATCAAATATCCACGAGCCAAAGCCAAGCTTTTGAACTCGTTTGGTTGGAAACTAAATACAAGTGTACCATGATTGATGTTTTTTTTATAGCCAGCACGACACGTGAAACAGGTTGGGGTGATCACTACACTCCCCCAAAATCTTATCAAAATTTTGATTGACATGACAGTGCCTTGTTACGTGGCTTGCATTTGGGAAAAGTTGGCCTGAATTCCAGGTGAAATAAGGTCTTCACGCTGTGCATGTGAAGTGACGTGATCCCAGGAAGACTGATTTTGAACCAAATGCAACAATGTCTGATTGAAGTTTTAATTAAAATCTTCGCTTATGACTCTCAAAATCTGAGTGCTGGCTACACATACATTAGTGAATGCATTTGGTGACAACATGTAAATATGTGACGCTAACATTATCGTTCCATGTAAATTAAAAATAGCAACACAAAAAAAGGGTGTAAAAATCCTGTAATATTATTGCTGTCTAGGGTTTAGATGTATTGTGGTGGAGGTACGTGGGGTCATAGCTCTCCTGGATTGCAATGCAACGAGGTCGTTTTGCTGCATGTAAGCTGAGAGAGCCGTCCATAAATAAACCACTAACAGCTATTAATTCGAATAAAAAGGCATTGGGGTCTACAAGAATCAAGCTGAAGTAGACATAGATAAGTGCCCTCCTTGTTCACTCACTCACTCTCTCTGTCTCTCTCTCCATACAAAGAAAGAAAGGAGAAAGGTTGACCTACAAGTCTCTTTCAATTTTATACACATACACACAACATTTATAATAAACTTTGCCATCGCCTTTTCCATGCCCAGCTTTTTCTCCATTGCTTTTTGTGCATCACACACCGAAAGAAAGAGAAACTTGGCCCAGCTAGCTCGTATATGTATTAAAAATAAAATAAATAAAAACATTCCCAACCATTAGGGTCTCATTCTGCAGTCCCTACATTGTGGGGTTCATGCATAAAACCAACTCCGAGTGTGATAATTTATAAAGTGGAAGAAAAGAAAAAATATTACAAAAAATTTCACTCGTACAGTGCTTCACATGTTTTTGGAACATTTAAAAATAAAAAAAAGAAGATGCCTATGAGTCATATTGCACTACCCCAATGCCTGCTGTTGTGTGTCCTTCATTTCTTAGTGTATTTTGACTAATTAACAAAGTGAAAGTTGAGATGTCATTGGTGCTAAATGCGAACAATTATAGGTTTGCTTAATTTTCTGACCAACACCAATTCATCTGAATATATTGGTGAAACGTCGAGGAAGTTCCAAGTTCAAATCTTATTTTAGAAATTTTGACAGCAGAAAAGTGCTTAGTGTACTATTACTTTTTTGAGTTGATGCGTTTGTGCAGGTCAGTGATGACGTTATCACACATCACCATGTTGAAGGATTTTCTTGAAGCCGTTTGAGGCAAAAAACCTGGATGATTGCCTATAACAAAGGAGTCTGTCGACTTATATGTGGCAACAAAGCAGATTATGGTGTTGGTTTCATTGACTATTGACATCATTTGATTTGAACCCGTTCTTTGCATAATATGCATCGGAAGTAAATAATAGCAAATATAACAAGTGGAAAAAAAGAAAAAAGAAAACGCCAAGGGATCCACATTTCATTCAAAAAAACCTTATTTGTATTGGGGATGTCACTGTTTTGTTATTCCTGATCAATAACACAATAACACGTGAAAAAATTATCCTACATATTAGAGTATTTGTGGTTTTAAATTCGAACTTATGACACATTCCGTTCTCCCTTTCAAACTTTGATAAAAGGAAAAAAGAAATAATAAAACACAACTCCTGGGCTCTTGTGTGTATACAATTTGTTGGGCCAAATTAAAAGGCCTGACTTTTTCATTTATTAAAAAAATAATTTGGGTTCAATGGCCAGCAAGTGGGCCACACATCCGTCAGGCCCGCCCAGCCTTGTATTCGGTCATACGGCATTATACTGCTGCCCAATTGTAACCTGACCGAACCCAGTCTCTAGATCCCATCCCCTTCTTCAGTTCTTCTTCGTCTCCTCCGACTAGGAATTGGAACATTCAGAGCCTGTTTGGTATTGGATTTGAATCCAATTTTATAAACTAAAAAACAGATTTTAAGTTGAAAATAAAAAAAACCCGTTTGGTAGGTCATTTTTAAAAACTCAAAAACACGAACAAATTAGAAAATATAAAAAGTCTATTTTTTTTCCTACTCATCGCTTGAGCGACGCTTGCTCTAAGCTCCTTCTGGTTGAGCTCAAGCTTCAAGTCTCCATAGCAGAAACTTGAAGCTCTCTTGCTCTCTCTCTCTCTCTCTCCATCTCTCTCTTTATCCCTCTCTCTGAGTCTCATCAGTAACTTTTAGGGCTGGGCATCTGAGCATCGCCTCGCCGCCTCCTCTCGTCTCTGTGATTCCTTCAGTTGAAGTCTCGACATCACACACCACCGAACAGGTGCGCATCATTGGCTCGTCGTGAGCTGGAGTTGCTCATCTCCGATCACAACAATCGGGTAATTTTTAGTTCCCCTTTTATCCTTGTTACTGAAGATTGGAGTTTATTTTTCATTTGGGTTATGTTCGATTTATAGCTTATTTATATCTAATTCGATTTTATTTATATGAATTCTTGTGTGTAACCTGATTGATTATTTTTTCATAGAAAGTGATGAAATGCTTTTAGATTTTGACATTATGGGTCCACTGTGTTTCCTATTCTGGTTATAGAATTCTTTGGTTTCAGTTTTTCAGTTCTTTTTTTTTTGTTTTTTTAAATCTCATTTGAAGTCTCTAGTATTCAAAAGTCTGAATGATATTTGCTCAGTGATGCTATTCATGGGTTACTTGTAATTTCTGAGATCCTGCTTATGTTGAATTGTTCATTTGATGCTTCTCTGCAATTTTTTTCCATTGAAGGCTATTGAAAGTTGTTCTACTGTTATGAAAAATCAAGCTTTGAATAGAGTTTTCATGAGCTTGTCTAAATTGGGTTCTATGTAGATTATGTTCTATGAAGGCTTGTTAGACAGAGTCTAAGAAGGAAATATGATAGTGCATACCTTTGAAAGATTTGATGATTGAATGATATTTTGCTTGATTGATTCATCTTCATATAAGAGGTATTTATTTTCAGACAAATTTTATTTTAGAGTACTGATAAACCACAGAATATAATGGAATTTATACATATCTTTTCTCCTTTTTCCGATAAATTTTAAGTTGGTTGATTTCCAATTGGTTGAGTTTCACTGCATTTTATGACATTCTTGTATAAATCCATGTATGAGTGTATGATGGTTTCTCTGTTTGTTTGAGTTTTTTTTGTTAAATTATTAAGCAAAATTTGTTTTTAGCAGCGGCCATAAAAAGGGAAAAATTACCCCTCAAAACCCTAATTCGGCGACTCAGCTGCAATAGCCCAAGTAACAGTGATTGACCCGCTCCCTTGCTTTGGTTGCTTGTGTCTATATGGCGGATTCAGGTGGAAATGCAGAACCTGGAGAAGGTATGTTTAGTGCTGTTTGGATTTTTTTAATCTGTTTCCATTGTATATGCTGTAAGTTTGTGACATTGTTCTTTTGCATTTCTAGTTTGCAACTTCTTTCGGAAGCCATTAAAGAAACAAAACATTAGTATTTTTACAATATCTGGTCAAGCACTCCCAAGCCAATCCAAGCAAAGGCAAGGGAGTCCCACATCGACAAAACACAAGAAGAGGGGACTCTCCCTCACTTATAAGAGGAGACCTCTCTCTTTCAAGAAAGGGGGACTGAGGCGGGCTACTAGGGCTCCATATGGCTCACTAGGGCCTCATGGGCTTACCCATGAGCCCATTTACAAGCTCACGGATCATTGGCCTTCAGCCAGATCCTCAACATCCAGCCTTGGCCTCTAGCTATCCTACCTACAACCTTCGACATTCTTTTTCTTCTCCTTGGGTCTAACCCTGTGTGCAATGTATACAATCTTTATCATAATGAGAACAATCTTTATCATAATGAGAACATACTTCTCCGTGGACGTAGCCTATTATTCGGGTGAACCATGTATATATGTCTACATCATGCATGTCTATTTACTTGTTGAATGCTTCCACATACTGAGGGTCCTCACCTTCAACATACATCTCATATTTAAGTTGGTCTAATTACTACCCGTCTAGTTTTTACCTCCAACAGGCAGCATCGGTGAGGAGTTGTTGAGTAAGTTCTCAGTACCCATCGATCACCGAAGATAAAGGTATCGAATAAGGTGCTGAGTAGCATTACTTTGCCAGTGCTTTGATGATTACAAGTCCCCAATCAAGAAGTACCTCATGAATTGAGAACTTGGGGGACTCTTGTTTGTACAATATTTGGCCAAACACTCCCAAGCTAATCCAAGCAAAGGGAAGGGAGTCCCATATCGACAAAACACAAGAAGAGGGGACTCTCCCTCACTTATAAAAGGAGACCTCTCTCCTTCAAGAAAAGAGGAGTGAGGCAGGCTACTAGGGCTCCATATGGCTCACTGGGGCCTCATGGGCTTACCCATGAGCCCATTTACAAGCTTACAGATCATTGGCCTTCAGCCAGATCCTCAACATCCAGCCTTCAGCCTCTAGCTTTCCTACCTTCAACCTTCGACATTCTTTCTCTTCTCCTTGGGTTAACCTTATGTGCAATGTATACAATCTTTATCATAATAAGAACATACTTCTCCGTGGACGTAGCCTATTATTTTTGGTGAACCATGTATATATGTCTACATCATACATGTCTATTTACCTATTGAATGCTTCCACATATTGAAACATACATCTCATATTTAAGTTGGTCTAATTACTACCCGTCTAGTTTTTACCTCCAACAATTAGAAAGCGAAAGGTTGATGAAGATGAGGAGGATGACAACTCAAAATCTAGGGCACATCATTACCAAGTCAAAGAAAATCCTCAAAGCTTGATGGCAAGCTGTATTTTTCTAGTGCACATGCTAGGAGCTCTACTCCTGATAGTAGTGCAATATTTGAGTTCAAGTCTTCAAAATAAATCCAAGTTGAACATGATAGTAGATCAACTGCAACTTTGGAGACTGAGACATTTACAATATATGACATTGGTTGAAAATGGCAAGTACATGCAAATACCACTTTTAAATATTAGCTTTCTCCTACAATCAAGCTTATGACATTCAATTTAAATGATGATTTCATGGCTCACAGATTAAAAACCTATTTAATTCAAATTTCAGCTATATTCATATGGAAACTATATTTTTTAGAATTCTATATTTGTAGCTTTATTAAATTGGTAGCATCTACCTACCTTCTAGATATAAATTTATATATTGAGTTTTTCAAAATTCTTTGATGGAATTTTTTTTGTCATAATGTTAATTTTTTAATATACCTAGTATGGAGGTATAACTTTTTTTTATTTTTATTTTTATTTTTTTTAAAACATATGCAAGGGCGGATCTATTACTAGGCTGGAGTGGGCTCCAGCCTGGGGGAAGATTTTTAAATATTAAATATAGTTAAGTTTATTCCTACTCCAATAAATAATAGCCCACTACACCAATAAATATAATAAACTAATAGTAGCCCCCTTTTTTTTTTTTTGGAGAAACAATAATAGCCCAATTTAAGTAAAGTAAATAATAACTTTATTTTAAATGAGCCCATTCCTGAAGCATATAGGAAATAATAAAAATCAATCCAAACTTATATAAATTCGATTAAAAGTAGAACTCACGCAAAGGCTCTACCAACTTGACCTATTGACCTATTCTAATCGTACTGATATTAGGCTACACCCATATAAAGCAAACATCAAAAAAATTCTTCTAACCACCCAAAACGCCATATTTGAACCTTGAGAGCCTAGATGAAATAGCTCTCCTCCTTTGAAAAATTGTACCAACCTATCTTCAATGGGTTCTTCAATCTTGGTAAGTTTTATATATAAATATATATATTTAATTTCCAATTTAATTGTTGTTGTTAAGTTTTTATGATTTAGGGTTTGGGTGAATTTTTTTGGAGATTGTTAATATATGTTTTATTTTTTGCAACTTGAATTATTAAATAGCAGTTTTGTGACTTTGTTTGATTTATAAAATTTTATTTACATTTTTGTTTCATGAGAAAAAAAGCTTATAATATATCTTCTCTTTAAAAAAAATATATTTAGCCTAGTCCTATAAAAATTCCTGGGTCCGCCATTGAACATATGTATTTTACCTATCATTGAGGTGCATCCAATATGTGTTTTACCTGTCATTGAGGTGCATCCAATATGTGTTTTACTTAGTATTAGGTGCATCAAATATGTACTATACCTATTAGATAGGTTTATCAAGTTCAATGGTTAGTAGGGTATTGTACCTGGAGCATAAGATTATCAAATTTAAGAATAATATTAATAGTTCATGAAGAAATAACTACATTTACATTCAAAATGTAGTTATTCCTTTAATTACATGATCAAATCAAATCATTAATGGCCTATAAATTCTCATCTTACCCGATTTAGACAATAGAGATATAATAGGAACAATAGAGTACAATGAGATGGGGAAAAAAAACTACATTTACATTTAAAATGTAATTATTCCTTTAATTACATGATCAAATCAAATCATTAATGACCTATAAATCCTCATCTTACCCGATTTAGACAATAGAGATATAATAGGAACAAAAAAAATTTAAGACAAACTACAGTAAACCCCCCAATCTATAGGGTCATTTACGAGTTCATACCCGATTTTGAGAACATTTATGGGTACATACACAACTTCGCGAAAACTTACAGATCGCCCTCCTCTGTTAGCGAATCCGTCAGGAAATCCGTTATCTGCCTACGTGGCATTTATGGGGCTCATTTTTAATTGACGTGGAATTCCACGTAGACCAAAAATTAATAAAAAATTATTTTATTGTTTAAATTATTTTTAAAAAAATCTCTTTTTCTCTCTTTCTCTCTTTCTCTCTTTTTCTCTCTCTCTCTCTCTGAACCCAGATCCAGAACACACACACACTCTCTCTCTTCCTCCATAGCCTCTACCACCAAACCCAGAATTCCAATTGGAAATTAATGAGCAGCAAACTCTGGAGCGGAGAAGGTTTGAGAAGAAGAGGTCTGGGTCTGGGTTCTCCTTCATTATAAAAATAATCTACCATAATTTTGCTTTAAATTTTCTAACTACAGACTTGCACGGTTAGTGTTTCAACGTCAAAGTCCACGACTTTTCTATTGCAAGTCTTTGTTTGCAGTTTCGCTGCTGCAGAAAAGGATGATGACGACCATTAGCTACGTATTCACATCGAGCTTCTTACATTGGTTGCTCTCAACGTATTTCTATCTTAGAAAATTTGAAAATTTAAAAAGAAAAAAAGAAAGAAAAAGGAACTGAAATTAAAGATCCCTAAACAAGTATTAACTCAGGCCATCGCGGTTTTTTCTCTAGAAACAAAATCAAGCGAGCTCCGGAGGTTGAGATCGAGCAATCCTCCGCGTGGCAAATCGTGGTTGTTCAGATCGACGACCGAGGACGAGTCCGAGTCGCTCTGGGCCCCACACGCGAAAACCCCACCGCCTCCGTAGGCGTGGAAGTCATGCTGCTGGAAAACCCCACCAACCTACCCTCCCTCCGTGCACACCGACTTCGGAATCTTCCCTGAAGAATCCGAAGAAGAAGAAGATGACGACATATCAGAAGCAGACCTTGAGCTCATTCCTCCTCCGGTGACAAGAACCTCTTATTCGAACACGGCCTTGTGTCACCCAGATCTAAGCATCAAGTCGAGTCGCATCCGTACATTGATGAGGCCGAGGAAGGTTTGGATCGCGATAGCTTCCTCTTCTCCTTCCATCCTCTACGGGTTGGGTGGTTCAATAGTTCGAATGACGTTATATGGGGTTGAAGCACCTAGAGATATATGGGGTTGGATTCCTTCCAATTCCAATCACCCAGAGTTATATGAGGTTGAAGAAATAGGGTGGGGGAAGAAATCTGGGTGGTGGGAAAAAATATGGGGTTTAAGAAATCTGGGGAGGGGAAGAAATTGGGAGGAGAGAGAATTGGGTAGGGTTTTTAATTATTTTTTTTAATTTTTAATTTAATATGTTTAATTTTTTTAAATAATGTAAAAAGTAAATTTTTTATTAATTTTTGGTCCACGTGGAAGTCCACGTCATCAAAAAAAGGGGTCCCATTTTTGACACTTCAGCATTTAACGGATTTCCTGACGGATTCGCTAACGGAGGGGGTGATCTGTAAGTTTTCGCGACGTTGTGTATGCACCCATAAATGTTCTCAAAATCGGGTATGGACTCGTAAATGACCCTATAGGTTGGGGGGTTTATTGTAGTTAACCAAAAAATTTAATACAAATTAATTAAATACAAAAAATTGTGTCAACATGTCAAAAATGGAATGTAGTCTACATGGCAAACTAGTCAAAAGACTTGTATCAACAAACAATAATTTGAGGATTAAACTCAACTATTAGTTGGATTTTTGGACCTCTATCAACTTTTCTAATTATATTATTAATTTTAAAAAAATAATACACGTGTCAGCGGATGATTAGTGGATTGTATGGCATATCCTACTCCTTCTTACACCAGATTGAGATTCTGCGAAACCCTGAACTGGAGGGCTTCGAATTTTTTTCTCATTGCGCCGCCTCTTTCTTCCTCTCTCAATAACTCTCGCCTCTGCCTCTTTTTTTTTCCAGATTTTCTCACACGATCTCTCAGTAACTCTCTCTCTCATCGATTCTCTCGCCTCTGCCTCTCTCAGTTTCTCTCAAGTTCCTCTTTTATTTTTTTTCCAGATTTTTCTCACCCGATCTCTCAGTCACTCTCTCTCTCATCCGCTCTGACTCTCGTCTCCCTCAGCCAGTTTCGCTCTCTCTCTCTCTCTCTCTCTCTCTCTCTCTCTCTCTCTCAGCCACTCTCGCTCTAGGTAATTTCTCTGATCTGACTCTGTTGTTGTTTGATTTATTTCTGGTGTTGTTTTTTTTTTTGGTAATATCTAGGATCATAGAATTGATTTTGGATTGATTTATTTGTGGTTCAGTTGTTTTATTTGTTATCTCGCTCTCTCCTAGATTTGCAAAACCTGGTTGTATGACATTCTGAGTATGCCCTTCATAAATTCATGGGTCTTTCATGATTTTTAGATTTCTGCATATTTGTCTTTTGGTTTTGATGTTTTATGCTTATTTCACTTTGAGAATTCCCAGGCTCATGTATGTGTACTAGTTTCGATGATAGAGCATAATATAGGTTTCGATCTGTGTGGCAGATCTGTTTCTTTTTTCTGTGTAGTGCAAACACTCACTGATATCTTGTGCAACCAGCTTGAAACAGATGAGCTTAAACTGAACTCAGAGGTTTTGTCACTATCTTACAGTCAGGGTGGGGTCTTTTCCCCAGGCAATTCAATTTCACCGTGTCCTATGATTTAGGATACAAGTGAACTTTAAAATTTTCATTTATAGATGCCGGACTCTAATTGCTCTTTTTATAGGTGGATTTTAAAGTAATCTTTTTGGTCAAATATGATGTGGGTTTGATGATCAGTGACAAGCCTTTTAAGGTTTACCAAAGAAGGAAGAAACGATCAGCCAAGCCAACATTATCATTATGGTTGGGGTGAAATCTGAGTTTCCAGATTTCAACAGGAAAACTATTTTTTTTTTCCAGATTCCGGATTTCACTAGGATTTCTAGATTTTCCAGATTTTACTAAGTTTTAGTTTCCAGTTTTTAGTAGGATTTGATTTAAGTTTCCTAGCTTGTTTGGATTGGTTCCTTTGTGGATTAGGATTCCTTTTTAGTAAGGGATTTTTTTTCCTATTGTCTCTAGGTTTAGTTTGCTATAAATACTCCCTATGTCCTATTGTCTCTAGGTTTAGTTTGCTATAAATACTCCCTCTTGGGAGTTTCACTAAAACACCCAAAATGGGGTCTGAAATTATAAAAAAACCCAACACCTAAAACACTTTATAAACACACCCAAAACCCATCATTACACACACTCAAAACCCATTTATAAACACACCCAAAAAATATACAATTGTTGATTTTGGGGTTGATTTTGGGTGTGTTTCTATGTTTAAATAGTGTTTGAGTTTTTTTATAAATACATGTCTAGAATTGGGTTTATTTATAAATTTGTACTCTTAAAATTCAGATTTGAGATATTAAGAAAAGTTTATATTCCAGAGATTGGAGATTCCTTGGTGTGAAGCCAAGGCATCTTTTACCACCTAGTTTCTGTTTTTCCATAGTTTTTGCTTCTGCTAAATTACCCAAATATTCAACTCACCCATATCCTACATCAGGGTTCTCTTTGATTTATTTAGTGGTTTGCTTGATGTTTGTTTGTTCGGCTGTTCATGAAGAAACATGGTGCTAAGCATGGAGATTACTATTAAAGATTTGAATGGTTTTCAATTGTTGCACAGTTTGGGCCCATAACTGATCCAACCCGACCCATGACCACCCCTAGTTTTTTGGTTAAATTATTAAGTGAAAATTGTTTTTTTTTTGTCAGCAGCGGCCATAAAAAGGGAAAAATTACCCCTCAAAACCCTAATTCGGCGACTTAGCTGCAATAGCCCAAGTAACAGTGATTGACCACTTCCTTGCTTTGGTTGCTTGTGTATATATGGCGGATTCAGGTGGAAATGCAGAACCTGGAGAAGGTATGTTTAGTATTGTTTGGATTTTTTTAAAAATCTGTTTCCGTTGTATACACTGTAAGTTTGTGACATTGTTCTTTTCCATTTCTAGTTTGCAACTTCTTCCGGAAGCCATTAAAGAAGCAAAACATTAGAAAGCGAAGGGTTGATGAAGATGAGGAGGATGACGACTCAAAATCTGGGGGCACATCATTACCAAGTCAAAGAAAAGCCTCAAAGCTTGATGGCAAGTTGTATTTTTCTAGTGAACCTGCTAAGTGCTCTACTCTTGATAGTAGTGCAATCTTTGAGTTCAAGTCTTCAAAAGAAATCCAAGTTGAACATGATAGTGGAGCAACTGCGACTTTGGAGACTGAGACTGACTTCTCTAGAGATGCCCGAGCAGTTCGTGAGAGAGTTCTTAAGCAGGCAGAGGAAGCTTTGAAGGGGAAGAGCAAAGTCACTGGGAACGACAAGTTGTATAAAGGGATCCATGGATATACTGATTACAAGGCTGGGTTCCGAAGAGAGCTAACGGTGGCCAGTGAGAAAGCGGGAGGTTCCCATGGGCCACTTAGGGCTTCTGCTCACATCAGAGCTACCACAAGATTTGATTACCAGCCAGACATCTGTAAGGATTACAAAGAGACTGGTTACTGTGGGTATGGAGATTCCTGCAAGTTTATGCATGATCGTGGAGACTACAAGTCTGGGTGGCAGATGGAAAGGGAGTGGGACGAAGCAGAGAAAATAAGGAAGAGAAATTTAGCTTTGGGTGAGGATGATGTGGACCAGACTGACGAAGATGACGAGGATGATGAGGATGGCTCATTGCCGTTTGCATGTTTCATCTGCCGCCAACCATTTGTTGATCCTGTTGTGACTAAATGCAACCACTACTTCTGCGAGCACTGCGCACTAAAGGTGAGTTCTCTTTCTTAATGTATCATCATCTTAACTCCTGTGGTTGCAATAACTCTTGTGGAATTCAATTGTCGTTTTAGACTTGCGAATCAAGTAGAATCAAGTCTTTTTGTTTCCATTTTGGGTTTCTTTCAAGCATTTCCTAACGTCAATCTGCGTTTTTCATTCACAGCATCATTCAAAGAACAAGAAGTGCTTTGTGTGCGAGAAGCCTACTCTTGGCATATTCAACACAGCTCATGAGATACGCAAAAGGATGGCTGCAGAGGGCAAATAACAGCCAGTACATTCACTTATTGAACTCATTGCTTTCAAGGCATGTGAGCAGTAACATTTCCACACTCCATGGTCAAGTTTTGAAGAGAAAGTTCACTTGTGATCCTTTCAAGGCATATGAGCAGTAACATTTCCACACTCCATGGCAGAGCTAGATGAAATTCGTTTTATTTTGTTAATGTAAATCTGTTTTAATCTTTCTTTCTTTGGTGGTATATCAACGTTGCCCGTAGCAGGGCCTCAAGTTTTGCATCACCTATGTATAGCTGATCTATTCATCTGATGCATCCGTTCAATATGTATGCAGCAATCATCAGTACAAAATAAATAAACAATAATAATTAATGAAATCCATTTGCTATTTCGAAATTGGTAAAATAACCTTTGATCATCCAAGATGAAAGAGTACATGAGGTTTGAGAGAAAACAAAATGAAGTTAACAAAAGTACAGAAGGTTTGGTATGGTTTGGTGGTGTAAAGAAAAAAGTTGTTGAACTGTCAAATTGAAATAAATCAATGGGTGTCGACATTTTTCAAGGAAGGTTTTTGAACTTTCACGGCAGACAGTGATGCATAAGCTTCATCTGCCGCAGAATGAGTCCACAATGTCCTCATTTTTGTTGAAGGGTTGTTTCTCTGACATGGACTCGTGCAATTACTATATTAGCCTCAAAATTTTCTACAAAATATGGAAAGAAAAAACAGTTTGAAGTTTGTAGGTATTATTTGCCTCATGCAAACAAGAAGCTCATCAGAAAACGCTGGTCATTGAGACGTTTTAAGTAAATATCAAGTAATATATCTAAAACAGATGTGGGTTAGGCTACTCGGCTCGGGTAATGAGTTCGCCTCCTTGCACCTAAATTTGAGCATGATGAATATATATATATTTTGAATCTCTTGGTAAAACAGAAGGGTACATTAGTAATTTGACTTTTTTTTTGGCATATATTATACTATATATTGTTAATCTGGTCCTCTAACATAACCAGTGATTGATGTAACATGAACACTCAAATCTAAGTTTAGGACCATCAGAGGGAGCAGCAGCTGAGCAAGCAAAAGAGTATGGCTAGATTTAAGGATGTCATGTCGACAGCCATGGCCGTAATATTTCTGAGGAAGAGCATTTACGTGTACGAGGAATTCGGGGTTTTGTTAATAGACTTCGTTTCTGTTGTAACATCCACCATCCAAGTTTCTGGTTTTTTTTTCCACAGAAGTACAAGGGTTTCTAATTCTACAGGCAGGACCTCTCCCATGTCTTCTCTGTTAGCTCGACCCGATCGGTAGCTGCAATTCTCTTCAAAATTTTAATTCGTGAGTTTTTCAACTGTAAGTGGATCAATATTTTCCTTTTTTATTTATTTTAAAGATTCAAATGTTATTATTATGAGTTTGTTTTTGGCACACAGCTGAAATATGAATATTTATTTGGGTTGGATTGCATTGCATGCATTAATTTTTGTTTCCATATTTACTGATTCATGAACTTTTAGAAATCAACATGCATGCTAGCTCCTTGATGAAACCCAAGTAAAAAAGTTTAATGTACTGCTCAGTTGGAGAAATCAGAGTGGTAAATGTAAAAAAGTTTTCATATTTTTTGTTGAGTAAATTAAGAATATATTTAAGATTTGGGATGGCCAACATATATATGAAAAAAAGAAGTACAATTGGAACTACTGTTTGATTCAAATTTTCACTTGGAATTTTGACAATGCACATATAAGTTACATGCTACAATTTTGTATTTATGTCATGTATCAGTCCTGATTCATGAATTAGATATTTCAGCAGAAGTTATGCGTTTAGTACAATCACATTATTCAAGCACATTTTCTGTTTAAATTCGAAACTATTGCAACTAAAATCAAACAGCATTATATTATTATATATATTCATTTGTTTTAGACAAACTAATATAAAATATTCGAGTGAATTAAAGTTATTTTAAACCTCAATTGGTTATTGTAATACATTTAAAAAAAATGATAATTCTTGTATTGATTGTTGTGGAGGTATTGAACCCACTGTTTGAGTTCTGTGTTGTTCCACCACACTAGAGTTTGAGCTTCAATGCCTCGTCCCCCACATTAGAATATCGTAATGACCTAAACTCTTATCAGCATTGAAATCAAGTGCTGAATCATACATCCCACATATTATCTAGGTCATTCGAATAGTAGTAATTTTCATTCATTAAGTTTGAATCTTACTGTACCTAAAATGATTGTAAATTTAATCAATAACTATGCAAATAAATTTTAATCTTTATTAGTAATAATCTTATGAACTGCATTTGGTGGTTGTTTTACGCTTTGTTATGGTATAATATGGGAGAGAGAACGAACGAGTTATAAATTTCTTAAGAGCATCCCCATATTGGTATCATCCTGTGTTACCAATTTGGTTCTCTTTCATCTTCATCATTCCATGAGTGTGGAGATAGTGAAGTGAGCATTGGCAACAAGAGATTCCTCTGATTCCTCACTTTCCTCACAATCATCCTTGTATGTTGCCCTTAGAACCACATTCATAGTCTTTAGATAGTTGCAAGAGTCATGGTCATGTAAGATTGTACCTTCTGAACCATAAGCTGCAGGGTCACTGATGGTTTCTAGTGGATGTGGGGAATTCAAGAAGGCCCTCAAGACAGAGAACCCCAAATTGTGTTTTGTCCAAAACATAGAGGCCGCTCCCCAGAGGGAGCAGAGGGTGCAAAGGAGAGGAATGCTTCCTCCAATGCAATGGCCTGTAAATTGAAACTTCGCTTTCTCCCCATTTCTTTTCAAGTGGTCTAATTTTTCTGGCATGAATTGCTGGTATATTCCCTTTGCCGCTTCAAAGATTCCTATGTGAACAACATTTGCCCCCTACACAAGGATATTATTAGCTAGGCATAGTTTATCCGTGCCTAATTTCTTATTTTCTTCCCTTTCAAGACAAGGGTTATGTATCTAATAAGACTAATCTCTATGCTTTACCTCAAATTTGGGGTTCGAATAAGAGGTATGCCTGCTAAGATGGATGGGAGTCTAGTCCCTTCAAGTCAAGAAGCATGTCATCCATTCACCATTCCCTTTGCATTCCTGGATGAAAAACAGAAAGAGTAATGTGTCATGTGAACTCTGGCATACAAAGGCAGATTAGTTAATGACTCATTATAAATTACCTGAACCACAAAGCAACAGTAAAAGTACAATAGTCATCACAAATAAATCATTGAACAAACTTACGGCAATGGGCTTTTATAGAACACCATAGTCAGCTACTTGCTCCTTGTTTGCAACGGAAACATAGGCAGGACCTCTCCCATGTCTTCTATGTTAGCTCGACCCGATCGGTAGCTACATTTCTCTTCAAAATTTAAATTCGTGAGTTTTTCAACTGTAAGTGGATCAATATGTTCCATTTTGGTGTTGGAGCTGTGAGCTTTGTTTATTTTGAAGTTTTAGATTCAAATACTATTATTGTCAGTTCGTATTTATATTATATGTATGGGTTTGTTTATTTAAATATTTGCAACTTAATTATAACTTCTCTCACGTGTTTCATTATTTTTGTTGGATATTGCATTGCATGCATTCATTTTTGTTTATGATTGAACCAATTGGCTCCATTGCTGATTCATGAACTTTAGAAAATCAACATGCCTGCTATGATAGCTCCTTGACGAAACCCCAATTCTGCACAAAAAGTACAACTGGTTGCATATTATTTGAGCACACTACAACCTTATATAGATGAAACTAGTTAATAAATGTAAAAAGTTTTCATTTTTGTTGTTGTTGAGTAATCTAAGAGTATATTAAAGATTTGGGATGGCTAACATATGAAAGAAATAAGAATAAGTACTTCCATATATAAGAGAGTTCGATATATCCCTATCTTTTTTCTCAACCGGAATTTCCTCATTTAGGTGTTTTTTATGGCGAGGTTTTTTAATGAGGCCACTCTTAGGACTCACTTGTTTTTTTTTTTTTTTTTTTGGTTAAGTCAATTGTTGGTGTTTTGTAATCTATGTTCCAATGTTTCTTCAATGATTTTCTTTCTCTCTTTAATAAAAAAAAAAAAAAAAAAAAACTCGAGGATGATGAATTTATGCTTCACCTATTAGCTCTAAATTTTTATGTAATTTGAAGAGTATTCATTATTCAAAACCTATTACTATATTTTCAGAATATTTTTGAACATCAATTACACTTGAGTTTTATGCTCCACAACCTAAGTCAAGGTCGAATTAGATTGGTTTTAAATAATTTGTTTGAGTTTCTACTTTGAGTTGTTCTGGTCATTTGGGTTTGCTTTGACTTGGATTCAAATCACTCAATGATATGCGATATATGGTTTGTTTTTAGTAGGTTTTAATCCTTAAAGGCCGACAACAGATGGTACCATTTTGGATCTACTAGTCTTTCAAACATCAAATCCAATCCTATTGAACAAAAAGAAAAAAGGTTAAATTGGATATACTAGTTTTAAAAAAATTTCACTATTGGAATTTTTGAAATTGCACATAGGTTACATGCTACAATTTTGTAGAACAAGTTTGCTATGTATGAGCCAAATCAACCAATTTATGTCATGTATCAGTCGTGAATTAGATATTTCAGCAGAAAATATGCTTCTAGTACGATCACGTTATTCAAGCACATTTGCTGTTTAAATTTGAAACTACTGTAACTACCATAGCTCTTAATCAAATAACATTATATAAACTTGCAAAATGCAAAATTACTTCGCATGTTTAAATTATGCTCATTTGGGACAAGTGATATGCTTAATATCTAAGCATGTATATTCATTTGTTCTGACCAACTACTATAAGATATTGGAGTCAATTAGTTATTTTGAAGGTCAATCAACATTAAAGTTATTTTGAATGTCAATTGGATATTGTAATACATTTTCTTTTAAATTATAATTCTCCTATTGATTCTTGTGGAGGTTCAAGTATTGGTTGTTATAAACATCTTGAACATGTGATATAACATCTGTATTTGAACACACCATAAAGTTTGAGCTTCTATGGGGGAGCTGAACCCGCCATAAAGCGTAGTTTGTTCTCTAAGAAAATTGAACTTCCAAGAATCAAGCAACATGATTGGTAGTTTTTGGTTGCGGGTTTAGGAAATGTAAGACAATTATTTAAATCAAGTAATTTTATTATGTTGGAGGAGAATAAGAGTACACTATTTATATAGAATTCGGCTAATTGGTTTTTTCCAAAGTATTCTGAGATTGAACAAATTGGCATTACCTTTTTAACAATGACATCATTTTAATATTGCTAGCTATATCAAGATTAAATCTTATTGTAACGATTTTATTGATTAAATGATTGTAAATTTAATCAATAACTAATGTGAATAGATTAGAATCTATATTAATAATCTCATGAACCAGATTTGGTGGTTGTTTAACACGTAGAGAATCAGCGAGTCATAAATTTTCTTAAGAACATCCTCTACATTTATACACCAGAAATCGAAAAAAAAAAAAAAAAAAAAGTTCCTATCAGTATCATTCCCGTGTTACCAATTTGGTTCTCTACAGGTCACTTTTATCTTCATCATTCCATGAGTGTGGAGATGGTGAAGTAAGGATCGGCCACAAGAGATTCCTTTGCTTCCTCACTTTCCTCACAACCATCCTTGTGTGTTGCCTTAGAACCATATTCATAGCCTTTAGATAGTTGCAAGAGTCATGGTCCCGTAAGATTGTACCTTCTGAACGATAAGCTGCAGGGTCACTAAAGGTTTCTAGTGGATGTGGCGAATTCAAGAAGGCCCTCAAGACACCTGAAGAGGACCCACACTGTGTTTTGTTCAAAACATAGAGGGCACTCCCCGGAGGGAGCAGAGGGTGTGGAGGAGATGACTTTTCATCAGGTTGGAGAATGAACAGATTGCCCATTGGCGAGTACAAACGTTTCTGCACAAGAAAAAAAGACATTAGAAGCAGTGACAGCTCATGCTTTAAATCAAAATTAACCAAAATAAGTGTTTTTTGGATGTTTTATGAATTTTAGGGATGGTACTTACACTTTTAATTAGACAAGGGTGTGTTTGAAATGAACCTTTTAAACGCCTTAGGAGTGTAATCACTTGGTTATTGTAGTTGGAAGAGAAGGCTCTGGGGACAATATCTCTATGCATTATCACACAATGGATGTGATCACTCTCATCCAAACTCAGCTGCTCAAGTATTTTCGGCCCTTTGCAGAACACAAATGGTGAGCCGAACGTGACAACTGGCCGAAGAGTGGAGGGCTTGACAAGGTTCCTAGTTAGTAGCATCAAGTGGACTAGAAGAGCAATGCTTCCTCCAATGCAATGGCCTGTAAATTGAAACTTCGCTTGCTCCCCCTTTCTTTCTAAGTGGTCTAAAATTTCTGGCATGAATTGCTCGTACATTGCCTCTGCTGCTTCATAGATTCCTCTGTGAACAAGTACATTTGTCCCCTACACAAGGATGTTATTAGCTAGGCCTAGATTATCCATGGCTAATTTCTTATTTTCTTCCCTTTCAAAACAAGGGTTATGTATCTAATAACACTAATCTCTATGCTTTACCTCAAATTTAGTCGGTTCGAATAAGAGGTATGCCTGCCAAGATGCATGGGAGTCTAGTCCCTGCAAGTCAAGAATTGCACAAATATCTTCTTGGGTGAAAAACAACGAGATTAATGTGCCATATGAATTCTACAAAGGCAGATCAGTTAATGACTTATTAGAAGTTACCTGAACCACAAAGCAGCGAGTAAAAGTACTAGAGTCATCACAAACAAACCATTCACATGGTGAGGAATGCTGGCCTGCTCGAAAGTCCTTCGTTGTTTCATGTTTTTCACTTTCGCTTGCTGCTACCACTACTGTCATTGTTGAAGCTTCCATGTAAGCAGCTGCCTCGGCTTTCTTTTTGAATGAAGATGTTACAAATTGTAGGTCATAGTATCTCTTCAAAACCTCGCCCTGCGCATTGTAGTGTGAATTTACTTCTCATGCTAGGAATACCTAAACTTTTGTCTGGCTATAAACTATAACTGTAAATCTATATATGCTAAAAACAGTCAAACATACCTTGATCTCTGGTATCACATAAACCATGTTGCACAAGAAAGCTAGTTTAGAAAATAGCTTGGTTTCAGACCATGGAACTCTAACCAAAAATCCTGAGAAAGATTCAGGATCATATGATTTGTATCCCATTTCTCCATTCTTTTCTTCTAAACTACAACCCTCTGCACAACAACCCTCCTCTCCATTATTGTTGTCTTCCTCCTCATCCTCAACCTGTTTTTGCTTCCATGTATTCCTCCACTTACTTCTGAGTTCCACAAGCCTCTCCATCCAATTAGCTCTCTTTATCTCCTCTCCTTCATTGCCAGTACTCTCCCCAGGCTTCTCCACCATATTCATGTTCATGTTCTTTTCCACCATGTCCATAGGCTTATACGGACCAAACAAAAATGAGCCAAGACAATTTGGGAGAATGGAACTTGAAATTTTAAAAGGGAAAATTTCTATGGAACGGCTGTTGTTTAGTTGTGTTGGGAATGCGGCACGAATACGATTGGTGCATGAACAAAGATGGTTATGATCTGAACTAGACCCGCGGATACGAACGTGGTCTTTGAAGATGGGGTTTGTTCTTTTGGTTGAGTTAGCCGGAGAGGTAGGAATTGGTAATGAAGTGCATGCCATGGTTGTACAATACAGGAATTGAACAAACTTACGGCAATGGACTTTTATAGCATACTATAGTCAGCTACTTGCTCCTTGTTTGCAACGGAAACTTTAGGGAAAAACTACCGTTATATACAAGGCAAATTAGTAATTGCACCACCTTATACAAGTCAGCTATGGATAAAGATCATAAGGGATCACAAATCCAAAATAAAATATGATGTCAACGCTTTGGTTGTTGATTTCAATGGTTCCCCTTGGAGAGCCAGCCTTCACACAATTTTGTCTAATTTTTTTTTGGAGTTTCCATTTCATTTTCAAGTACAGCGGGAAGATGAACATATTTTAGTCCCACGGTTGCCCCTTGGCCGGCGGAAAGGGTCAGGAAATTGTCTCAAATTTCAATATCAACATAGTTATCTAAGCTTGTATTTGCATAACTGAAATTGGATTTGAAAATACTATTCTCTTGACCACATCTCTAAAGAGTCATTCAGCATTATTCATTTTGGAAACCTGAATGTGCAAAGCTTGCATCAGAGTAAAAGTTTCAATCACAAGTTTTTTTTAAATAATTTCTTTGTTTTTTTTTTAAAAAAAAAATTTAAACGTTTTAATTTGATAGTAAATAAAAATCTCAAAAATTCAAAAATTGGTGAGGCAATTTACATAAGCTAAAATTGTAACATATGCATAATATTTAAACAGAGAGAGACACCCATAAAATATTTATAAGATATAAGAAGTAAACATAGCAAGCGTATCTGCTGAGTGAGAGACAACGAGTTGTTGACCCTTCGTTTTCCAGGATCACAGTGAATTATTGAAGCACAAACCTATATATATTGATAATTTTTTTTTTCTTCAAAAGATAACAGTACAACGGTGCTTAGACCAATTCGTGAACGATAATTAGACACCTTATGTACAATTAGACTTGAGGCTTCAAATCTTAGACATTGTGTAGTCCATTGCATCCACAAGAAAATCTGCAGCAAAAAAAAAAATGAAAAACGCAACGCAATTGGTACTAGAACTGGTAGGACAAAAAGAAGAAGAAGAAAGCTGGTTGAAAAAGAGCTATACCTGCATCATCCTTGGTGAAGCACAGGGGAGGTGTGATTCTGAAAACATTTCCATAGAAGCCGCCTTTGCCAATCAACACTCCCAAATCTAATAATAAAACCAAAAACAAAGTAAAGATGAATTAGTAGAGCATATAACATTAAAGCACTGAGGGGGGGTTGAGAAGTTAACACAAAGTAACACACCTTTCATCTTTTCCATTATATGTACAGTTTCAGCCTTTGCAGGTGTCTTCAGCTCACGATCAGTGACTAGTTCAACTCCAAGCATTAATCCCCTTCCCCTCACATCCCCAATAACTGGGTAAGCAACGGTCACCAGAGGTTGAGATAAAGATAATTTGTGATAGATATTCTAACTCTAGAGCCAAATATTGCTTAATGCATAAACAGAAAAGCAGTAGTAAGAGAGTTTACGTTCATATTTATCCTTGAGGGCATTGAGTCTTTCTTTCAGATATGATCCCACGACGAAAGCATTATCCTGAAGCTTTTCTTTCTCAATCACTTTTAGAACAGCAAGTCCCGCGGCTGTACATACTGGATTCCCACCGAAGGTGTTGAAGTAATTGCGGCGAGTCAGGACCTCTGCAACCTCAGGAGTGGTTACAACAGCACCAAGAGGAATGCCATTTCCAATGCCCTGCAGAAGCCAGAGAAAGAACAAGTCAAACAAAGAAAATGGGGCTTCTGATACCATACAGCTCAAATAAGTACAGGCAAGATATTATATTGCTTGGGGTGGAAGAAAAGAATGATGCGATTAAGTTGGTTAACCTTGGCCATTGTTACAATGTCAGGCACAACACCATGGCCCTCAAATCCCCAGAAGTTGCTTCCTGTGCGAGCAAAACCACACTGGACCTCATCAGCAATGAAAAGGCCTCCTGCTTTCTTCACACTAGTATAAACGGCTGGCAAGTAACCTTGCGCCAATTCTACAATTCCACCTACTCCCTGTTCCATAAATAAGAGGTTAAGAAGGGTATGGAAGGAGAGCATCAAGTAATAATAAAATGGTTAGTGATAATAATTTGAGTAAGAAGGAGATGACATACCTGTATGGCTTCACACATAAAACCAGCAACATGGCCTGAGGTTCCAAAGTCTATGAGATCTTGAACATCATTGGCATACTTCTCTCCATCTGCACCAAAAACTCCTCTGTATGGGTCCGGGTTTACGGCATGATGAACTCCACTCTGTAGGTCAAACCAACGTAATTTGAATGTTAGCAAACTCCATACAATCGCATGAGAAAAATACAACTGCAAGTCCTCCATTCATTGAGATATCTGGTGCAGGTAAAGCTTATCAATTTATTAGCAGTTAAGTAATACGTGCATAAGGTATTTTCTTGTTATGAATTAAGCGTCTCTGTGAAAATTCATTTCTAGTTATAAAAATTGATATGCACCTCTTTACTTCTCATTCATGGAATTAGAATTGGACAAATGAAATGCAGTGGGTTTTCTACTCCTCCTCATTGCACGTCTCAGAAATACAACTTCACTTAACTTGAGGTCTTAAAAAAAAAGCATCTAATATCTTTGTTGGAGAAGCAAAAGAGTTTTAAGAATGCACACCAACCTTGCGCATGTCTCCTTCTCTCACTTAATCTAACAAATTATGGAGTTTTGGTTTTGGTTTCAACACCTAACTTTCTCTTTCGACATCCTAATAAATTATATTGGTGTGTCAATAATAGAGTCACGTTTTTGCTATTAAATCATATCCTATAAATGTGTGCCATATTACTATTTATTTATTTAACATGATATTAAATAAAATTTAAGTATGCGTCACGTTTTTGCATTCACAAGTATGTACTTGAAAAACGATTTGCTTATGGGCGGTCCACTCTTTTCTCAGTATAGAAATTGACACCAAATGATCCAAGCCTGCCCCATCCCAAAATAAAATAATAATAATAATAATAATAATAATAATAATAATAATAATAGAGGAAAATATTTTATTTTCATAAAGCATTGATTTGGACATCCTTATCGTTTGGCCCTATTAATTTATAGAGTAGTGGGTTCAATTTGGGTATGATTAAAGTATCCAATTCGGCTGACGTTAGGTGCAGTCCATTTATATCCTATCATCATATCATGGGGCTCTTTACCTTATACCTGATCATCAATGAAAATACATTATTATTATTTTCAAGCTGTATTCCACAAGACCATGTGTAGATTCATAGAATGGAGCTACTAAATTAAATTGTCACAATCTTTAACCTCTCATCAATTAGCATCACTAATGGTGCTCTAATCAATTAATACAATTGACCAAGTTAAATTATATCTAAAACAAAAATAATGCCAGATATGAATTATGTGGAAGTTTTACTCTGGAGGCTATATTGTTATTGAATGACGTCTGTCTTTTGTAACTTTTTTTCTTATTGATCTAATAAAATTCTATCGCATTTTTATGAAAAAAGATAAACTCTAGTTAACTTAACGTTTCAGCTAATTAAAAGTTATTTTATAAATAAATAAATTTCTTTCTTTAGAAAAAGAAAAATAGTGAGAGTGAAGTAGTAGAAAATTATATATAAAAAAGAAAATGACCTGGATGACATTGAATTTCCAGTTGCCCTGAGCGGTGGCCCCCATGGTGCCAGCGGCGTTGCCATGGTAAGCGTTTCTCAACGAGATAATGTCATGGCTCCCCGTGTACAACCTCGCTATCAACATCGCCAACTCGTTCGCTTCCGTCCCCGAGTTTGTAAAAAACACCACCTACGCATAAACAAATTAATAATTGTTGAACAAAAACAAAATTCATGATGATCTCTCGACGCATAGCAACAAAAGATAGCATCACTCGTCACTGAAAATGACAATTCTTCACAAAGTTGCTTAGCTATTATTACTTAATTCAGAAACAAAAAAATGTGGACCGTCTGATCATCAATCGAGTATGATTGATTAAAGAATGAGTTGGGTAGGGACCTTGAGATTGGCGGGCAACTTGGAGGCGAGCGCCTGGGCGAAATCGCCGATGGCATGGTTGAGGTAGAGGATGGTGGAGTGTTGGATGCGCTTGGTTTGGTTGACTATGGCCTCCACCACATCGGGGTGGCAGTGCCCGCAGCTCACCGTAGCAATCCCTCCGAAACCGTCCAAATACCTCCGCCCGCTTTCGTCGAACAAGTACTGCCTCTTCCCGTCCACTATGTTTAGCTGCAAATACCCAAAAAAAAAAAAAAAAATTAAGCACGGGAAACATGTGATGAAATTGAAGGACGAGGAGGTGGAATCAGGTGCGCGAGGGGTTACTGGTTTGTTGTAGAAGCAGAACATCGAAGGGCTGAGATACTCCTTGCGCTGGGCGAAGATCTCGTCGGCGGTGGGGCCGGTGTAGGGAGGAGGGGTGTAATCGAAGGGGGGCATTTTCGGCGTAGCGACGCCATCGTCTCGGAGAACTTCGCTTTGGGCCACCTGAGAGAAGCAGCGCTGCCTTAGTAGGGATTGTGCTGTTCCAGATAATACCCTTCTCCCTACTAATCCCTGCATATTTTTTTGGCTGCCTCTCTGTGTGTTGGTTTCTGAAGATTCCGAAAATGCAGGAGTTTTGGTTGTGAGACAGAGAAAATATGGGAAGGTGGGAGAGAGAGAGAGAGAGAGAGTAGTGGAGCTAATAGAGGGGAAGGCGGAGAGGGGTTTATATAGCTGGACGTGTTGATTTGTTGTTAATTAGCTTAATTAGTTAATTTCGTAATCGCGTTTAAAATTTTACAACTAATATCCCACGGTGGTAAAAAGGAAAATGGCGGTGAAAAGGAAAAAGGGTTGAAAAGCTTAAAATTAGTAAATGACCATTTGAGTTGAGCAACAAACCAAAGCCCCGTCTGTATTGCTATTTGGTGAGATGAATCTATCCGGTGTACTGCTGCACATTCCAATTATGACTCGTCTTCCATCTTCAAATTATGCTGCACCCTAACGTCACTTACTGTTTTTGCGATCAAATTGCAACACAGGTCCTGTCAACAACTGTTTCAAGCTCAGATGGATCAAATTCAAGATATATTTGTATTGAATGCATTTAATCTAGCACACACTATTATTGTCAAATTGTTAATTTTAAATTATACATATCGATATTGAGAACTTACGTGTCCTCAAAAGAGTCGTGAATTCTTAACACTTTTCATACATGAATAGTTAAGATATTTTAGAATTAGTCTAGATTATAAGAATTTAATTGATTGGTAAATATTTTGATATCCTAATTTGACAACATAGAGTAAACAAAAATGCCTCTCTCAAAAAGAAATTGAACTCAAAGCATCTTTTTATATTTAGTATCTGTTAGTCATCATAGTCCCCACCCCACATGAGCCTTGGATTGGATGATTCCTTACATGGAGGAAAGACAATTAAATATTATATATATGTTGTTGAATGAAAGTTAATTAATTAGCAATTGTATTCCATTCCACCGCTGTCATATTTTTGGTTGGGGTAAATGTAAGATGGAGGTGGTTGATATTATTCCAAACGAATGAGAGGAAATATCAAACAAATATTGCAAATCTAAGCATATTAGGGAATGAAAATGGTAGCCAAATGGTAATCAGGTAAGGTGCGCACTAAAACCAAAACAACTAATCCAAAAAAGGTGCCATGCTTTGCTTTAGTGCTTCCTTCGATTCATTCACTACGTTGGCTTCTTATGGTCTACTTTCTAGTCAACTTCTCTCAACGCATCGAATTTTTCTTTTGTGCTTTCAGTTTCGTGGGGAGGAAGGACGGATGGACGGATGGTTTGCTTGATGCATCCAAAAGATGTGACACAAGCCTAATAATTCTGTTTAAAGTTCAATTAAACCATCCAACAGAAAAATAATTCAATCCAACCATTGATCCTCAACCAAAATATGAGAATTAAAAAAATAAAGGAGAAGTAAATGCGGATTAGATAAGTTGGGTCAAGACAGTGTGCATGTGTCTCTACCCAAGTTCGATTCCTTCTTCTCTCCATAGATATCATGCATGATGCTTCAAATAAATTGCATAACTATAACATGTGAAGCAAAAACATTCAAGAACAAGAAACCCATGTGTAGGTGTGTATACAAACTGAAATGGCATGTGATGATGTGAGAAACCAAATAAATGATGATGTGAGAAACCAAAAATATGTCCAGAAAAGCACCATGGATTATGATGTAGAGGAAAGCTAGGGTTCACCTTTTTCTTTAGAGTCTAACCATACGAAAGATATTTCGTATTAAACACCGAAAAGAAAGTGAGGTGAAGGTGGAAGTCATATTCAGAGAAAAACCAAAAAAAGGAGTTAATTTCTTTACTTTAGTTAGAAGTGCCTCCCAACCAAACAACCCTAACAAGCCATGGAGTAATTAAGCAAAGCAATTGATCTAGCAAAGCAAAGCATGCACTTAGTCCCAACTCCACTAAAAAAGGTGATTAGCCAATAATTGAAGCCCTGACTAGGATTAAGCAAAGTAAATCAGCCTATAATGAACTTGGTCGAAAATTTAGGCCAAATGAGAGCGAAGTTGGTATATTATGTAATGCAACTGTTTTATCTATGGGGTCACGACACCATGTATATATCTTGGAGAGAATCACGGGGGTGTGCAACAAAAAATTCATAAACTGGTTTAAGAACTATAAATAATATAGTTAATATAGATTAATAAAGCAGAGGCTTTGAAATTGTGGCCGTGGTTGAAGGGTAAGCTGGACAATAATGGACTTGAAAATCTTAAACTAAACATTCAATCAGATAATTATAAGCAGAATGACCCAAGTGCAAATGAAACTGTGTAACCCTAAAGTCATCATTACAATATTACAATAACAAAATGGATTTCGACATCCAAGTTAATCAGATGCCACCATTGCGTGTTTTCTGCGTAGGATTTCCACATCCCTATCATGGAGGCCAAGTTACTTAAAAAAACAAGTGTCAACAAATTAAATTAAAGACCTCCATGGACATCCCTTTGATTCGTGTCTAAGTGATGTTTTCGGGTTTAAAAAAATCTGACATATTATGTTATCAGACTGTGAATTTGAATCGCATATAAACAAAGAAACTCGTCTATTCAAAAGCCACGCCAATGACTCAATGATACAGTCAGGATATTAAACGTACTGGATTTGGAATATAGCATATATAATTGATGCCCAATAGCAAATAGTCAGAGGACAAGGGGCCTATGTCAGATCGAAGTCCATATTGTTTTGGGGACAATTATCTTATCTTGACAGCTCCAATTAGATGCCTTGCATATGTGGCTTAATAATTTTTATTTTATAAGTCCCACAGATTATCTAGATTTCTGACGTGTTCAAGATTATTAAAAGCCAACTCATGAACCAATCGAACAGCAGTTCAGCCAAAAGACCTTGTAGGAAAACACATTAACAAATGGGGAACTAAAAATACTATAAGAAAGTAGACCATCAACAATTTAGACAAGAAGAACAAAACAATTTATGCTCAGATGTTACGTGAATGATTGAAGCCTCTAATTTTGATATTAGTGAACAAAACAAGTCACAGTATCGTAGCGTAATAACCAAAAAATTCTTCCGGCTAGTGAACAAAACAAACCTATAATTTGGAATATTACTAGTGATGGTGAACTTCTTCTCGCTTTGCTTCTTACAGCATGTATCAATCATCTTTTTAAACCAAAAAATTAAATAAAAAACAAACGGAAATAAATGAAAAGAAAAATAATAAAAATGTCATACTAATTATACCCAAATTAGAAAACAAAGTACTCACGGAAGGGTGGGGGGTGATGCTGGTGCTCCAGAGCTCGCAGCAAGCCTGTCGTTTCTCCAAGTGTGTGTCGAAAAGTTGGTCTATTCTCATCTCTAATCCATGTTTTGTTCGCCGTTTTCTATGTATTCAGTTTGAGGAGGAAAAACGCATTACCCGTACCATGATATTCTCAAATAATATTGAGCGGAAGAGAGAATATTTTTCTATAAACAAGCAACCGTTATCCAGAAGAAGGTTCTCTTTGAGTTTCCTCCCTTGTTATGGTTCCACAGGAACAGAACCATTTGTGGTTGGGACCTATTAGCAAGGGCGGAGCCAGGAAATTAATCAAGGAGGGTCAACCTCAAATAATAAAATCATCACAAAACAAGATAAATTTATCTAATAATACAAAGTCTTTAGTAATAACTCATATATGTCATTCCAATACATTCACAATCATTCATCTCTTGAAATATTTTCATAATCACTTCATTATCAATAATATCAAATTTCATAATTCAGATAATAAAGAAATCATATAAACATTATTGTCCTAAGTTGAAGCCTCGCAAACCAACACAACTAGAAACATCTTTGTGTCAACAATTTGCACGCTCGGTATATATATAACATTTCAATATATATACACATAGAAGAATTTGGGGCCCTAAAAAAATTATGCAAGAAATTTAATTTATTATTTTTGACCATTTTTGAAACAGATTTCAGATATTCCATGCTGGACGAGGCCTCGATGTTGAGAAATTATACAATGGTACCGTATCACCACGTCAGCTGGTGATACTTCCATTCAAAATATGCCATGTATTATTATTTTTAAATAATTAAAGCTTTTTTTTTACAGCTGGACTTTAAATATGTTTTTATCTTTAAAATAAAATTGAGAAAATAAGAATATCCAAAAGACAGAACCACTGCCCACCCCAACCCTGGCTCCCTTGACTGAACCACTGCCCACCCCACTCCACCCCAACCTCCTCCCTTGACAAAATAAAATAAATTTATCTAATAATACAAAGTCTTTAGTAATAACTCATATATGTCATTCCAATACATTCACAATCATTCATCTCTTGAAATATTTTCATAATCACTTCATTATCAATAATATCAAATTTCATAATTCAGATAATAAAGAAATCATATAAACATTATTGTCCTAAGTTGAAGCCTCGCAAACCAACACAACTAGAAACATCTTTGTGTCAACAATTTGCACGCTCGGTATATATATAACATTTCAATATATATACAGAAAAAAAGAAAAAAAAGAGAGAGAGTTATAACAACTTGCGGAACTTCAGTCATAAGGGTTAGATTTTAAGAATAAATTATAAACATAGGGCAAATATAAAAATATTCAGGGTTATTTAAGGAACTTCAGAAGGGTCAGCTGGCCCTTGTGGGCTTTCATTGGCTCCGCCTATGCCTATCAGGGCTGGTCTTGAAATTTTGAAGGCATTGTGCGAAATTTAAACTGGGACCTCACATAAACTAGCACAAACTTACACAATTACATAATGCCATACAATAATTTTTTTATAAAAAAAAAGTAAAAAGTAAAAAACCTAAAACTATGATGCACATAGCGGGTTTTTAAGCCGCATCCTAAGTTGAAGCCTCGCAAACCAACACAACTAGAAACATCTTTGTGTCAACAATTTGCACGCTCGGTATATATATAACATTTCAATATATATACACATAGAAGAATTTGGGGCCCTAAAAAAATTATGCAAGAAATTTAATTTATTATTTTTGACCATTTTTGAAACAGATTTCAGATATTCCATGCTGGACGAGGCCTCGATGTTGAGAAATTATACAATGGTACCGTATCACCACGTCAGCTGGTGATACTTCCATTCAAAATATGCCATGTATTATTATTTTTAAATAATTAAAGTTTTTTTTTTTTACAGCTGGACATTAAATATGTTTTTATCTTTAAAATAAAATTGAGAAAATAAGAATATCCAAAAGACAGAAGAACCACCGCCCAACCCAACCCTGGCTCCCCCTACAACAGCTTACTGTACCAGACACAAAACGGATAAAACACTCGGCATGAGGCATTTTGTATTTGTACAACAGTTATTCCCAGAATTAAGTCTTTATGCCTCATGAATCAACCAAAGAATCTACGGTTTCAAATTTTCATGTCGTGGTAAGGATTATGAAGGCATATGTTTTCATCAATCACAAAGGTGTGCCATGAATCTCTTGAGTGGCGTGCGATATTTATGAAAGGCTGGTGGGATTGTGAGCAACAGAGGCACTCGTTCATCATGAGGCAGTGCGAGGCAACCAAGTGGTGAGGTGGGTTTAAGTGATGGATACTCCTGACATACTTAAAATATATGATATTGGTTTTGTTTTCTGCTCCCATAGTTTAAGAGATCTTGCAGATTTTTATGGTGAGAGAGGAGGTGGTTATGGCGTCACAGCGTAAATCCGCCATGATCAAATTGTTTCACCAGTGTGTGAGAGAGGGAAGAACTGAGCTCACCGGATTGGCTTCTCTAGAACTATTAAAACATGTTGCAGTCACAGCGTAAATCTCAAAGTCGACAATTGGATTAGGGTTGATTATAAGCATAGCTCAATAAAAGATTCTATAGAAAGCTAGTGGTGGACATGAACTGGTAGAAATATTAGAAATATATTACTCCATCCATTGGATTGTGATCTTTCGATAATGAAAACTAAACAATGTGTACGGATAGAAAACAACGGGTCTCTACAACTGTCTGAAGGTAAGGTTAAGACGGCCAGGATGAAGCTTAGTTTCTTCCAACAAATTCATTGGAGCTGAGTCTGGAATGATGGATGTCACACCATGAAATATATGTCTGGAATGACCTCCGAATATCAACACATCTCCTGATTCCAGAACAACACTCTCTGCCTTTCCAATGTCTCTCTGATCCCCATAGAGGAAGTCTGCTGAATCACCTATAGAAATGGAGACCACAGGTAATCCTTCTCTGAGAGACTTTTCGCTTTCGTCGCGATCCTGAAAATAAAAACTTCATTTCAGCACCAAACAGCTATTGTTGTTATTAAGAAACATTCAGAATCTTTGAAACCAACATAGAGTAATTATGAATATGATTAACCAAAATTAACTGCATTGACTCGAAGTTATATATGAATATATGCTCATTAACTAACATGCATAAACATACCTGATGGAGGCCAAGTCGTCCACTGGTTGTATAAAAGTTGGCAATGCATATATCAGGAGAAATTGAAGGAAGTATCTCTTCCACACTGCTAACTCTGAGTTCCTCTTTAATATGGGCATGCGCCTCTTCAATTGCTCTTTTAACCAACAAACTAAATTCATGAGGAATAGCAGGAGGCTGAGTACCATCGATTGTTCGTCTAGAGCCATATTTCCTAGTCTCAGGATCCCAGTCGTGGCCAAGGCACATCATCTGCAGACGAAGTTTTGCTCCATCTTTGTAACCAGGCTGATAAAAGCCCCCAGGACCTAGACCAAGCTGCCTGCACTTCTTCACAATTTCAACCTGTAATTTAGATGGTACAGAGGTATTAAAAACAAGCTTGCACTACGAAGAATACGAAACAATAAACTTTCAAAGAACTGAAAAATGAGTCTTCATTCACAAAACAGAAATGTACAACCCCATAAACAGGGACAACCAAAAGATCAACCCAGACATTGTCTCTGAATAACCATCAGAGACAAAAGAAATTGAGATGTCAACTTAGGAGTCAGTTAATGGGCATTAATACATATCTGAATGCCATTTTCTGATTTCAGAAAACAGAAGACACTACTAATACTATATAATTGATCAAAGGCATACATGTCTGCAAGACTTCATATCATTTTGTGATTAATGCTCTTGAATAGAATTGCTAATTTGCTAGACTAAGATTTAAAATGAAAGAAAGCAATACCTGTTCAGTGTGGGTGACAAAATGTTTCAATAATACCATCCCCTGCCTCAGTATTAGATTGGTGGAATTCAGTGCTTCTGGATTTGTAAATTCAACCACGTGATCTTCTTCATTCTGGTTTTCCATATTTCTTGCATACAAAGAAGCTTGAAGTTCATAACTTCTGCTTCCAGACAAGCATATATCGAAAGGTTCATTATAACGAAAACCCTTGGAACAATCTGAATTCTTGGAAGCATATCCATATTTCATATTTCTTGGTTCAGAAGGAGGCTTTACTGCACTGAAATGCTTTCTTTTATTCCCAAACTCTGTAGGCAAACAATATTTCTCCATCTCGCTTCGGCAATCAGACATAGCGCTCTCATGTGGAAACTTAGTTGCATTCTGAGAACTTGAACTTGCAGCAGCATCCTCCATATTAACTAGCTTTGATATTGAATCCATTTGATATTTCCTTTTATTGAAATGAATATAAGCACTATTTGATATTCCCTTATCAGTAGGACCTGATGCAGACATGAGAACAAGTTGCCTTAATCTAATACCAGATGCCACAGCAGAAATCTTGTAATAAATCTCAAAACTTCCGACCATTATCATCTGCCAATTTTCGTTTCTGTTATGGGGCTTTCCACTCTTAAAACCAGCAGAAATATTGGACCAAGACCCACAGCTTGACACCTGTTATACATTTTAACAACATTGCTAGTGAACTTCTTCTCGCTTTGCTTCTTACAGCATTTATCAATCATCTTTTTAAACCAAAAAATTAAATAAAAAACAAACGGAAATAAATGAAAAGAAAAATAATAAAAATGTCATACTAATTATACCCAAATTAGAAAACAAAATACTCACGGAATCGTAAGGAATTACAGAATTTCCACTGGGGGTGGCGGGTGACGCTGGTAATCCAGAGCTCGCAGCAAGCCTGTCGTTTCTACAAGTCATCTTCTCTGGCACTGGCAGTGGAGTAAGTACTTGGCGGAGAAGTATCGAATGGCGCAGGAGCCACATGCTCGATCCATTAATATTCTAAAACGAAGAAGATTGAACGACGGTGATGAATCGTCGGGGAGGGAGATTCGAATTCAATGCTCTTTTCTTTTTGGGTCAAAGAATTCAATGCTCTGTTTCTTGGTTTGGTCGTTTGGCGGTTACTTTACTCTAGTGTAATCGGGTAGGGTCCGATTCTTATTTGCGGGTTTCTCAATGGAGAGAGAGTTGGATTTCTTTGTTTTCGTTGATCAAGTTGCAACTTGTTATCTATTGTATTTAGATGAGCTTAGGCCGTCTTTAGTCATAGGCTATAGGGCAAATGTAGCACCAAAAATGTGATTAAATTTTTTGTGCCAAATGTAACCCACTTTTAGCGCATGCCAAATTTTTTGTTTGCGCCTAGTGCATGTGCTGCACATACGTAGGAACCGTAGGAACAATCACGAGGGGGCGTGACATACTTTCAAATACAAAAGCCGGTATAAATATATGGGCTTAACCAAAAGCCCAATAAAAACATAAGAACTTAGTCTATTAGATATGGTGGCCCAAATTTAGTTTCAGACTCAATCAACCTCAGCCAGCCCATCGGTTTTGCAAACCCCACACGTCATTGTGGCGCGAGAACAATGTCAGCACGATGTATTCTGACACGTGTAGTGCACCCTGAGTGTACACGTGGCACCATGCCCCATTTTTTCCATGATGCCACTCAAAATCTTGAAGGACCCTTCTGCTGGCCACTAGCGAGAATGGCACTCGATTAATGTTTTAACACCCAACGCATTTAGATGGGCGGGGGTCCCACAAGCAGGCGCAAGCTGCACTTGTACGCCATTCTTACTGCACAATAATAATACAAACCAAATCGTTTACAAATATTAAGTTATTTCACTATAAATCATATTTTTTGTTCATATTTGAGGAGGTTATATCCGAGTAGGTTAATTGGTAAAGACAATGTGCGTATTTTTTACACTCACATTTGATTCCTCTCTCCCCCTTATGCAATTGAATGGTTTAGAAAGATTTGTCAATATTTAACAAAATTTTCTTTCTAGAGATTATAATTGGTTAGACCACCTTAATTCTCCTTGGTTAATGATGCATTACCTTGTATAGATTTCTAAAGTAAACTCTTTTAAATGTGAATCCCAATAGTTTTGGAATTCTTTTCTTTATGTATTTTGGAGTTTCCCAAATCTTCACAATCTAACAAAAATTTACCAAAAATTAGAGTACAAAAATTTAGGAGAATTTTTGGTGACTTAATGCCTTTACCAAAAACATCCTCACGTGGGCAGCCTGTAGAGAATCACCTTTTAATACCTTCACTTTTTATTATACCTTAACAAGAATATTCATAAGCCATTCCAGCGTGCCATATGAGTAACCCCACTAAATTCCCCACATTTGAAGACATTAAACAAAGCAAAATGAAAGCTCAAACCCTTTTAGCAAAGCTGCACATTTCATACCTGCCTTTTGTCCTTCTCTGCCTCTCTTCTCAATTCTTGCCAGAAAAGAAAAGAAAGGGAAAGGGAAATCTCAATGCCTTGCTAAGCGAAATTTGAGACTGCAAATTCACACATGCAGCTCTATTTGTTCATTTTTCTCTCTCTTTTCTTCACTTATGGCCATTCCAAAACGGATATCTCTCTTGGTTACCAGCTCACTGTGGCAGTGCCTATTGAATACAGTTTGGGATTCATTGGGAGAGCTTTTTTGATGGAGACGAATGAAATCACACCAACTTTTAAAACTGCATTGAGTGTTGAAGCTCTGAATGGCAAATACTCATGCTCCTTGGAAGTCTTTCTTGGAGATGTCAAGGTTTGGAACTCTGGTCATTACTCGAAGTTTTATACTTCAAATATATGCGTCCTTCAACTCACCCAAGATGGAGATTTGAGGTTGAAGGGTCCAAAAGACAGAGTTGGATGGAGGACTGGGACTTCTGGACAAGGTGTGCAGGTAAAGCTATAGCCAAAAAGAAAAAAAAAACCCAAGAAATTTTTGTTATTTTTCCTGTTTGTACAATATATGTGATCAATGTTGAAATATATCTTCTTCTTCTTTTTGTTGCTTTTTTGGTCATTTTGATGCAGAGGTTAGAGATATTAAGGACAGGAAATTTAGTTCTGCTAGATGGGTTGGGCAATATCAAGTGGCAGAGTTTTAATTTTCCAACTGATGTAATGCTTTGGGGTCAGAGACTAAGTGTGGCTTCTAGGTTGATTTCATTTCCAATCAACTCCACTTCATACTACTCACTTGAAATTGAACAGAGCAGGATTGCTCTCTACTTGAATTCTGGTAAGTGGAACTATTCCTATTGGGAATTTAAGCCTACCAAGAACAGAAACATCGCTTATGTTCAACTGGGTCGCAAGGGTTTAGAGTTATTCAATGACAAACTAAAGAAAATTGCACAGATTCATCCATCTGATCATCAAACAGTTCAGTTTGGTCAGCCCCTGAGGTTCTTAGCATTGGGGAACAGAACAGGAAATTTGAAGCTATATTTTTACTCACCCAGCATTGCTAAATTTGATGCTGCTTTTCAAGCACTCAACACCACATGTGATCTTCCATTGGCTTGTAAGCCTTATGGGATTTGCACCTTGTCCAGTGCTTGTTCATGCATTCAAGTGTTGATAGCTGAAAATGAGACCAGTAGAAGTGATAATTCTGATTGCAGTCAAGGAATTTCAGGTGGGTTTTGTGGCAATGGCAAGACTAAAGCAGAGATGCTTGAATTAACGGGTGTTGGTAGTGTTTTAAGGGGTGCTCCTAAAATAGTTAATGTGAGCAAAGAAGCATGTGCTAATTTGTGCTTAGAAGACTGTAATTGTACATCTGCATTATATTCAACTGCAAAAGGAGGCATGGAAGTAGAAGAGTGCTTTCTTTATGGAATGGTAATTGGGGTTAAACAGGTTGAAAGGGGAAGTGGATCGAGCTACATGGTTAAGGTTCGAAAAGGAGCTCATGGGGGCCATGGAAAGTCCAATTTGAAAAGGTGGGTTTTGGTCCTGGTGGGAGTGGTTGATGGGTTGATTATTCTTCTGGTTTTTGGCGGCCTTGGCTACTACTTGATAAAGAAGAGAAGAAAACACACATTGCCTAATGGCCATAACAGTTGACTGTATTTGTTACCAGGTTTTCTTGTCTGTCAGATTTCAAGGCCATGGTACAATTTTTTTTATTTTTTATTTTTATCCTTTCTGAATTCAAGTTGGAAAGGAAAGGAAAACACAGTTTTGGTTGTTTTTGAAATGTTCATAAGAGAAACAATGTGATTTTGTTCAAACAATACAAGTTGCAATTCAACAGCTAAAACCAATTTTTGGTTTGTTCTTTGTTTTCTTTGTTCGGCAATTTCTCAAGGATTAGACTCAAAGAGTTGCATTATGTAGGAGAAAATACATTGTCCAAACACAAGTAACATACCGAGATTTACAAGTACTTCATCACATGAAAGAACGCTTCATATTTTTTCTTTTTTGTATATTTATATTGTGGTAAATGATAAATAATTATTCTTTCGCAGTTTACTAAAATGCTTGGGGTGTTCTGGAAGAAGGAAATAGATGTCTAGCGGAAAAAAGAGTGGGGAGGGGGTTGTTCAAATAACATTGGATGGGAAGCGATGTGAATGGCAGCCTGATTTTTCACAAAAGAGAGTCATGGGATGTGGATCTTTAAATTTCAAATAATTGAGAAGTCCTTGGAGCCAAATTAATTCGTAAGAGACAGCAGCCGTGCCTCTATATTCGGTTTCAGCATTTGAACGGGCAATAACACTTTGTTTCTTGCTTTTCCCTCTTACCAAATTTCCTCCAACAAAGGTACAATATCCTGTGGTGGATTTCCAGTCAACTTGGCATCCTGCCCAATCAGCATTTTAGTGCCCTATAATCTAACTATTTCCATTTTCCCTTATCAAGATACCACGACTAATGGAACCCTTTAGGTAATGAAGAATCCGTTTGATTGCCTGCAAGTGAGTTGATCGAGGAGAATGTATGAATTGGCTTACTAAGCTTACTGCATAACAGATGTCAGGACAAGTGATAGTAACATAAATAAGCCTCCCAACTAGCGTCAGATAATAACTATAGCATATGCCAACAATTCTCCATCTAGACCAAGTTTGGCCTTGCAGTCAATTGGGGTAATAAATGGTTTGGTTTCTAGCATTCCAGTTTCTTGAAGAAGATCTAGCACATACTTGCATTGATTAAGAAATAAACCTTTGCTTGAGGAGGCAATTTCAATACGCAAAAAATATTTGAAGGACCTTATATCCTTAATAGCAAACTTATTGTGAAGAAAGGCTTGAGTTTATGAATCTCTCCCATGTTGTTGCCTGTAACAATGAGATCATCAACATATATAAGCACCACCAATCTTCCAGCAAGCCCATATTTAACAAACAGAGATGAATATGCATCACTTTTCTTGAAATCTATACTTGTTGATGCTCAAAATGGTTAGGCCAAGATTGAGTCCAACTTAGTGATGAGGTGTGATGGATGATGAATGAAGGTGAGGACCTTGAACATGTGTGTAAAGACTTGGGCAAGCGATAAATGTAAAAAAGACAAGATATACGTGGTTCACCCTTAATAAATGGGCTACGTCCACGGAGAAGTATGTTCTCATTATAATAGTGTATGATTACATTTGTACATGGGGTTGGACCCGAATATAAAGATGACAAGTGAGATGCCCAGGCTAGGGATTTAGAAGAGAGTCCCCGGCCCTAGGCTCTGAGACCCGGATCCTCTTCTAAGTGGAGAGAGGAAGTCCTATTTTCACATGGATACTACTCCCTATTTATAGGGAGGTGAAAGTGAGAGGTTTGTGTAGATTTTCGATGTGGGACTTTGTGCAAGTCGCTGTGGTGGTAACACGTGTCCTTGAGATTATGTTCAGCAATTAGGACCTTCAGCAGTTGGGAGCTTCGGCTGGTGCTTGGCACCTCGGAAGGATATCTTCCTTCGGCAGGGGAGAAGGAGTGTCTGCCTTTGGTACTAGTCGCTTTGAGGCTGGATATACTCGGTTGATTATGGTGTAAACAGTAGTCCCCCAAGTTCGCGGTCAAGAAGTGACTTCTGGATTGGGAACTTGTGAAGTTTTTGTGTAATCATGACCGAGCATTCCAGGTTCAGTGGGAGCCGTAGGGCATTCCCTAGTCCCCCAAGTTGGCAAGCTAGAAGTTGCGTTAACACTTGGAAGGTATGATAAAAGCTGTGTGAGCCTCTAGAATTTTTGGTAGCTGGGTACCTCCGAAAGAAAAGTAGACTTGGGTCTTGAAGTTTCATGCAAGAAAATATGTGGGCCTCAGAGCCTTTGAGATTGTTGCTTGAGAGATCAAGGGTGCTCAATAAGATTCTCATTTTGGATTGATGAGGCTACTGGGCCTTGGGTGTTAGTAGATTCGACAAGGCTTGGGCTGGGCCTCCCCGTGTGTGAACTGAAGCTGGGCTTCGAATTTGGAGCTGTGCTCGTGGCTTGGAGCTGGGGTCCTTGGCCTTGAGTACGGGGTTTGGCACGGGCCTGGGCATAAGTCCGACATTCTTGGGCTTCTTGGAGTTCGACACACTTAGGCAATTTTTAGATAAGTTAGTGAGTCCCCCATTTTGCTTTTTCACGGGACCTTCCTTGTAGAAAATACAGTGATTTTCTTCGAGCCTCTAAGGCTTGTTGAGTCTCGAGAAGCTTGGAGTCGAGCCTGTTTTGGAGCTGGGCTTCACAAGTTAGCAACTTGGTATTGTAGCTTGAGTGGTCTTGGAGCTGGATCTCGGGTGAGGAGGACTGGGCCTCTGTGGAGGTAAATAGGTTTGAAGACGCCTCCCTTTGAGCTTGTTTTGTCATTTAGCAGGGTCTGGAGGGAAAATAGGCTAGCTCCAGTGCCCGCGCCATTAGAGGTCTTGATTTCTCTCCGTGGCATGGGGTGCTTTTGGAAGTGAATTTCATGGACCTTCCTCCGAATTGAAATAATGGCTCGTTCCTAGCCATGCAAGCCATGCAAAGTGGTACTCTAGTTGAATTGGGTACCTGGGCAGCTATTATTCATATGCAATATTTATAAGTAAGAAGAGAGATCTTATCTTATGATGAGGATATGCGTGGGCATCGCCTCATGATGACGAGGTACCGAAGGCATTGCTTGCTTCGAATGATGATGAGGTGCCGAAAGACATCACTCAAGTTGAATGATGACGGGGTGCCGAATGCATCGCTTGCGTTGAATTATGGCGGGGTGCCGAAGGTAATATAAAGCTTGCATGTTGTAAGACATTGTGGCCAGGCACGAGGGTGCCGGAGGCAACATAAAGCTCGCATGTCGCAAGGTAATGTGGCCCGACACAAGGATGCAGAGGGCGACAAAAAGCTTGCATATCGTAAGGCGATGTGACTAGGCACGAAGGTACCAGACACAACACAAAGCTCGCATGTCGCAAGGTAATGTGGCTAAGCACGAGGGTGCCTGAGGCAACACAAAGCTCGCATGTCGCAAGGCGATGTGACTCTATACGAGGATGCAGAGGGCGACACAAAGCTTGCATGTCGCAAGACGATGTGACTAGGCACGAGGGTACCGGACGCAACACAAAGCTCGCATGTCGCAAGACAATGTGGCTAGGCACGAGGGTACCGGACGCAACATAAAGCTCGCATGTCACAAGGCAATGTGTTTAGGCCGCAGGGGTGCCGAGGGTGACACAAAACTCGCATGTCGCAAGGCAATGTGGCTAGGCACGAGGGTGCCAGATGCAACACAAAAACTCGCATGCCGCAGAGCGATGTGGCCAGGCACAATGGCGTCGAAGGCAACACAAAGCGATGTGGCTAGGCACGAGGGTGCCAAAGGGAAGGAATGCATATGTGCTTAGTGGTAAGTTACAAGGTGATGATTGAAAGGGTGCCGAAGGGTACTAGAGGAAGGGAAGAACAACAAAAGCTTCTTGTGTCGACTCCCACAGATGGCGCCAAACTGTTGATGCTCAAAATGGTTAGGCCAAGATTGAGTCCAACTTAGTGATGAGGTGTGATGGATGATGAATGAAGGTGATAACCTTGAACATGTGTGTAAAGACTTGGGCAAGCGATAAATGTAAAAAAGACAAGATATACGTGGTTCACCCTTAATAAATGGGCTACGTCCACGGAGAAGTATGTTCTCATTATAATAGTGTATGATTACATTTGTACATGGGGTTGGACCCGAATATAAAGATGACAAGTGAGATGCCCAGGCTAGGGATCTAGAAGAGAGTCCCCGGCCCTAGGCTTTGAGACCTGAATCCTCTTCTAAGTGGAGAGAGGAAGTCCTCTTTTCACATGGATACTACTCCCTATTTATAAGGAGGTGAAAGTGGGAGGTTTGTGTAGATTTTTGATGTGAGACTTTGTGCAAGTCGCTGTGGTGGTGACACGTGTCCTTGAGATTATGTTCAGTAATTAGGACCTTCAGCAGTCGGGAGCTTCGGCTGGTGCTTGGCACCTCGGAAGGATGTCTTCCTTCGGCAGGGGAGAAGGAGTGTCTGCCTTTGGTACTAGTCGCTTTGAGGCTGGATATACTCGGTTGATTATGGTGTAAACAATACTTTCAAGAGCTGAACTTAATTTGGCATACCAAGCTCGTGGGGATTGCTCAAGGCCGTAGATAGCCTTGTGCAATTTACAAACCATTCTTTCTTGTTTTTCTTGAGAATGACTAGGCAACAAGCTCATGTAAATCTCTTATTCTAGTTCTCTATGCAAAAAGGCATTCTTCACATCCATTTGAAATAAAGGTCAATCATTATTCATGGCAACAGATAAGAGAACTCTTATTGTATCTTTTCTACATGAGCAAAAGTTTCCTTGTAGTCTACTCCAAAAGTTTAAGTAAACCTTTTAGCCACCAACCTTGTCTTGTGTCTCTCAATGGATCCATCACTGTTAAACTTGGTTTTATAAACACATATGCAACCAACCACTTTCTTCCTTTAGAAAACTTGACAATAGTCAGGTTTGATTTTCATGAAGAGCTTTATGTTTTTCTCTCATTGCATTTTTCCAAATCAATTGGAAATTTTCCTCTTGAAAAGAGCTAGGTTTACAAGAGTTCAAAATTTTGCTTAGAAAGGCAGCATGGGATCGAGACACGTTAGTGTAGGTA